TAAGTTTCTTAAGACACCAACACGTCAGAGTTGAAAACAGTATGTCCTAAAACGACAGATTTGGGAGTCATCAAAATATATAATAAATAGCGATTGAAGTCATTAGGGATGAGACCATTCAAGGAAAGTGAGGAGAGGCAGTAGTGAAACAAATATCCCAGTAGTCAGAGAAGACAGAAAAATAAACCAAGTTGTAGGAGAAAAATAAGGAGACCACAGTGTTTCAGAAATCTAAGAGCATTTCCAAAGAAGGACAGCTAGTCAAAATGTCAAATGATATAAAAGATTCCAGTTCATTTCAAAACAAAAAGATCAATGGTGACCATCATCCCCAATAAATTCAGTGACTAAAGTGGATTTCCAGACTTCAATATATTGAAGGAAAAAAGTAATAAGGAGGTGGAAAAAATGAATATAGACAACTATCAAGAAACTTAAGGAAATAACTACAGATAAAACTGAAGATGAATCTAGAGTGAGAATGTGAGTGTTTAAATCCTGATAAATTAGTGCCAATCCACAGCAAAAAAAAAAAAAAAAAGGGATTAACCAAGGTTTATGGATTGTGTTCCCCCAAAATTGATATGGAGGAGATTCCAGTATATTCAATATTAGAGATGAGATTTTAAAAGAACTAAGGTAAAATTAGGTTATCATCCTCATTAAAGTAAAAGATACCAGAGGTTCTAGTACACAAAGGCATGACCATGAGAAGAGGCAGAAAGAGGGTTGTCATTTATAAATCAAGCAGAGGGCCAAGAAACCAATCCCATTGGAATCTTTATCTTAGGCTTCCAGGCTCCCAAACTGTAAGAAAATAAATTCCTGTTGTTTAAATCCCCCAATCCAAAGTATTTTGTTATGGCAGTCCTAGCAAACTGAATCACTGAGGAAACATTGTTACTGAGGAGAAAAAACTAAGAGCACAATTAAAGATGGACAGGTAGAGATAGACACGTTTGAGGATGAAACAGAAAAAAAGCAAAGAAGTTCCCACCAATGTCTTCATTTCCTCTGTGAGGTAGAAAGCAACATTATCCGGGAAAGAGTAAGGAAGAGAGATGGTAGGTTAATAACCAAAGGAAACCAAAGTAGTTACTAGAGATACACAGGATTATTGGATTGCCTGCCCATTACTCAATAAATGTTCGTTGTTGAGTGAATACCTGCTGGAAAACAAATCATTTTCACTAAAAAAGAGATGTTGACAGGAAGCCATGAAGGCTGGTTAACAACCTTAATTGCTCTAACCTTTAGTTGAGATATTGTTAGCTGATGCGCCTCCACAATGTTTGTGTAAGTTTCTGTTATTTCCTGCCTAAGGGCTACATGTATCAATAAATTTGTTTATGTTTCCCCCAAAGCCTCAATAAAAGGGGATGGCAGGGCCAGAGCAGGTAGTAGTTCTCCCACTAGAGTTGGATTACCGCCTGGCCCCTCATATCGCCAAATTGAATTTCTTCAAGTCTTAAGTCTTTTCATTTGTGTGCGGCCCTTCTCCAGAGCCCGAACCCTGAATTGGAACTCTTTCCATGCGGGTCGTGAGAGAGATTTATACAAATACCTAGTTGTCATTCATGAATGCTTTGGTTCAGTTTTAATAATCTGTCAAACAAAAAGCATTGGGAGGAGTCAGAACCTGAGTTTTAAATCTAGTTATGTGTGACCTTATGCAAGTCACTTACCCTTGCTAGGCCTTAGTTTTTTTCAACCAGATACATGAGACTCAATAATCAGCAAAGGATCACCTCAAATAAAAATAAATGATGTTATAATATTAATGCAGGTTTGTGCATGACCTCAGTCTTCTTTACCAAACTAGTGTGTCATATCATGTGGAGCACTTGTTAAAAATGCAGATTCTGATTTAGTAGATCTGGGATTAAGGCTAAGATTGTGCATGTATATATATTATTGCTTTGGGAGAGAAAGGGAGAGAGGGAGAGAAACATCAATGATATCGAGTCATTGATCAGCTGCCTCCAGCTGTGACTTAGCCGCAACCCAGTCATGTGCCCTTGACTGGAATTGAACCTGGGCCCCTTCAGTCCACGGGCGGACACTCTATGCACTGAGCCAAACTGGCTAGGGCGAGATTGTGCACTTTTAACAAATTCTCAGGTGAAGCCATATACCACACTCTTGAGTAGCAAGAGTGAAGAACACTGATCCAGCTCAAACTCTACAAAGCTTGTAATTGCCAGCTTATCTGTAATCAGCCTGATACTACAAAACCAAACAAAGACACTTCAGACTCACACCTGCACTAAGCCTGTCTTGCTATTCCCTGGAACACGTAATATTAACTAACAATCCCCATTTGGTGCAGACAGAAAATAGAAAGGAATGAATAATACTGCCAGCAATAACAAGAAATTAAGAGAAGCCAAAGAGAGAGAGAGAGAGAGAGAGAGACACACACACACACACACACACACACACACACACACACACACACGAGTATACATACATACAACTCAAAGGTTAAAATTTATCTAATCAAACATTAGCTACCAAAATATGAATATTTTTATTTATGGAAAAATATATGTATTTATCTCTGGAAGACTCTCTAGCATCTCATTCTACAAGCATTCTTTTGCATTTCTGGTTTAATCTGAATGCAAACCCATTCACTGTATCACATAATTTATGGATTTTTACATTAATTATAAAACAATCTTCACATATTTGTTTAGAACTTTTAATTGTGTTACCATAACTAAATTCGGTTTGGGTGAGAATTCTCTTTGGCTATAGGAAGTGTAATTAGGACAGGCAGTCGAGCTGCCCTGGAGCTAAAACATATTGCCACAATGCACTGCTATAAACTGTTTCTATCATTCCCTGTGCTAGGTTGGGAATCCTATCACAAGCAATAAGGAGAGATTTTCATTGTAATTTCACAGAAATCTTCCTCAGTGACTAAAGATGTAAGAAAAGACATCATGCAATGAATATCTTATATTGTAGTCACTCTGTCCTTAATGTGAAACCTCTGTACTAAACAGAGGTTTGAAATATGAAAATGGAGGAGTGACTTCCCTTATCCAAGAAAAAGAAAAGCAAAACAGTGTGGCTGTAAAACGCTCTTCCTTATTCCCTTGTGAAGAATAACCAAATTTCAAGGACTTGACCGCACTATAGCTGAGCTCCTTTAAACTGGGGTGGGGAGAAAACATGTCCAACAGCAATCTTGGCACTAGCAAACAATTTACCAGTCCTAGCTATTTGGTCAAGACATTTTGAAATAATACTTCCCTCAATCACCATGTCATAAAAAAATAAATAAATGCAGTGAACCTCAAAAGGATCTGCTGAATCACCAAGACCCCCAAATATAAAGCTGCAGAAATCAAATCGCTGGGTTTGAGCGAGCACTGGCGGCCATACCTCAGCAAGCAGGTCCTCGCAGAAAACGTGTAAACTTCCTCCTCTTGTTCATTCAAGGCTAGCAAGGCTCTAACGTTTCATTAAAGCTTCCCCAGCATTGCAATTAGCAGTAGTGGTTTTATATTAAAGATGACCACGGTCTCCATCCCTCAAGGGCAAATGCACCAACCACCCTAGCCCGCAACCGCAGCCACAATTTGGGCACCTTACGCTCTCCTCTCTTGGCACCCAGGGCCAGCCTTCCCGCTCCGGCCCGACTGGCAGAGCCCCGAGCTCAGCTCCCACGGGTTCCTCGGATTACGCAAAGCACCAAGCCCGCAGGCCCTCGCCGCGCCACTGCTACCCCTCCTCTCCCGGTAGCCAGCCCCACGGTCCTCCCTCCCGGGTCTCTCGAGTCTCCGCCGCCCTGCCCACTCCTCCCTTCCACTCCTGGGGATCGCAGGCGGAGCCTCACCGGTGGGTTCGGTCCGGAGCAACCCGGCTCTCCCGCTTTCACTCCCCGGCACGAAGCGGCGTCGGTTGGTCCGGCGCTCCACACCTTCCAGTCCCCTCGCCGCCGCCTACTGATGCCGAAAGCCGCTTCTAGGAACGCGCCATGTTCGGCGTCGCAGCTCCACGCGATGTGGACGCCCGAATACTGCGTCACACTCCCACGGCGCGTGGAGGAGGCCAACGGAGGAGGCGATTGGACAGCGGAGGGAAGGAAGGGGCGGGGCTGTCTCTTCGAAACCAAAGGCGCCGGTTGGCTGAATCGGCAGTGTGCGCTTGCGCAGTAGAGAGAGCGCGCGGAGAACCAGGACTCGGCGTGATCTCTAACCATAGAAATCATAGGTCTGGGTTTACTGGGGCGCTCTATTCCAGAATAATAACAAGGATGGAAAGATTAAAAAGGAAGCCCAGTTCTCCTGGGTCAGGATGCGGGACAAATTGTTAAAAATCGAGACTGTCCCGCCAAAGGCGGGATGTCAGGTCATCTTAAACTAGACACTTATTACATTCTACTTTCGGGATTGCTTTCCAAAGTGCAAGTAGAGAAATCACTCCCCCTGAGGGGCAAATTCCTCAACCCAAGATCCTGGGTTTCCCACCCCAACCTGTTCTGGGAATCAGGTGTGAGGTATCGTGATAGAAAGAAACCTTCTTCGGACATCAACAGTCCCAGAACCCGGCTTCTGCAAAGCATCCGCCAGGCCTAATCGCATCATAGAATGTACATCTCCACAATAGCCTGAGAACCACACCACAACCTATTTAACCAACAGCGCTCCTTGGGGCGGCAGGCCACGCCCAGACCACAACTACCCATTCCAAACTTTCAGACTGGGTAGCGCGGTGTCTTCTGGGATCTGTAGTCTTCCAAAGTGTGGCTTTCCTCTAGTTCACGACTACAATGCCCGGCGGCCCCTGGGCTCCAAGGCCGGCCCTCTTTCTGGGGGGCGGAGCCCAGGGCGAGCCTGGGGGCGGGCCCTCGCCTCTCCCCTCCCCACCCAAGGGGGCTGGGAGGGGTGCGGTGGTGCGGTCGACGGTTCCCACGTGGTGCCGTGACTAGGGTACCGGGCTCTGGTCCCCGCTGACTTCCGGGGCCTGTGCGCCCGTAGCCGGCAGAAATGCCCAAGATCAAGTCTGGGGCGAGCGGCCGCCGCCGCGAGCGGCAACAGGCCCGGGAGCTGAAAAGCGCGGGAGGTGGGTTCACGCCGCGGGAGCTGGGGTCGGGTCGGGTCGGGTTGGGTCTTCGGAGGGAGCTGGGCCCGGGGCGTGGACCGAGATCGGGGCCGGGGCAGTGCGATCTCCGGTCCTTGCTCCGGGGCGCGCAGGTGCTGGGATGCCGGGGCGCGGGCCACAGGCCCTGCGCGCTGACTCTGGCTCCTGCCCGGCAGAGGGGATGGACCGAGCGCGCCAGGCCGGGCCCCGGGGTGACGTTTGCTGCGTCCTGTTGGCGCAGAAGTCTTCCGTCCACCTTCGCAGGTGCTTTCTTCTCTGCTTCGGTCTAATATCCAATAGTAGTTGGAAAATGAAGGCTGTTTCATGTTTTCTTTCAGGACTCATGTTCAACACGGGGATTGGGCAGCACATTTTGAAAAATCCTCTTATTGTTAACAGCATTATCGATAAGGTGGGTGTGGGAAAGGAAAGGGAGTTATTAAGTAATTATTACTAGGAATATTGGAGCGCACAGAAGTTGTGTGGCACAAAGTAAATTCTCTTTAAAGACTTGTTGAATGAACTGAAGAATATTCTAGTTTTCATAAGCTGTCTTTGCCATGATTTGCTTAATTCTGTCAATTTGGATTTCTACTGGTTCCGAATCATTTTCTTTGTATAGATTTACTCATAGCTGGACATTTATTCAATTCCAAATTATTATTATTCCCCAATCATTTTTTCTAAGGCACCACCCATGACTGTTCGTTTTTATTTACTTCAGAGCCTAATGATATGTCTAAACAAAGATCTTAGGAAGTTTGTTCCCCCAGAGAAACTTCTATGCTACAATGCAGTTCCATATGTAAAGTCTTTGGAGTAGTCCTCCTGTATGTGTTATTGATGCCCTCTACTGTTTCAGATGTTTGAGGATGCTAGGACATGAAATGTAGGAGGTGCAAATTACTTTCATGGCCACAAAGGGAGCATCCTGGAGCAGTAGAAAGAGCATTGCATAATTAAAGGACCTCATCTTGACTTGTTATTTGCAAAATGAGGGTGGGTCTAGCTTTTTAATATTTTTGGCTCCTGGATTCCTTTGAGCAATAGCTATGGGTCCAGAATACCGCAGCTGTGTGCATACAAACATCCACTACCATGTACAATTTCTGGCTACTCCTGCATCCCTGAAAACATACATGTGTTGAGAATTGAGAAATCCTGGTACAGCACACTATAGTTCTTTGGCAAAATCATTATACATAGTCCTTTCCAGTTTGAATTTGTTGATAACAGAGTTGGTAACAAGATGCTATTGAAATCACTTCCAAGGTAGAAAGCAAAATGTCAATCCTACAAAGAACTGCTATTCTGGGTTTCTGACTCCTCGCTATTGTCCCAAGTTAGGAAAAGTGTCAGATTTCTACTTTCACCAAATGTTAGATAATTTTGTTAAGCATGTATATCATGAAGAAATTCCTAAAAATTGAGTTTTAATAAAAGATCTTAACCGAGTGCTTTTTAGCAAAGATATTCTGGTGTAAATTATGCAGTCAGGAAAGCTAAAGTGGTTGTGTTTGCTCGCAGGCTGCCTTAAGACCAACTGATGTGGTGCTGGAAGTTGGACCTGGAACTGGCAACATGACTGTTAAGTTACTAGAAAAGGCAAAAAAGGTAAAAGGATTTCATGTCTGGGATCAGAAATGACTATATGAGTAAGCTCAGGTGGTTTATAAATATAAATACTTTAATTAATTGCTATTATTTTAACAGTAACTCTTAATCCTTTGCTAGAAATTTTATCTTAGAAAATATGGGTGAATGGGTACAGATGGTCAAAAGGAACAAGCTTCCAGTTATAAAATAAGTCCTGGAAATGTAACGGACAGCATGTTACTGTACTGCGTATTTGAAAGTTGCTAAGAGAGTAGATCTCAAAAGTTTTAATCATAAAATAAACAAAAAATTGTTAACTAGACTTATCTTGGAATATATACATATTATGTTGTATACCTAAAACTAATATAATGTTATATGTCCACTATATCTTAATTCTTTTAAAGGGGTCAAAAGAAAATGTGGGCTCTATCAGTCAGGAACACAGAAACCACATTCAATACAGGGAAATTAGTACAGGGAATTGGTTGCATGGTTGGTAAAGGACTAAAAGAATAAAATGAGAACATTGAGGGAACCTAAGAATAATAATTGCAAAAAGCAGCTATCACCTCTGGGCTCAGGGAAACAAAGTAAGGAAGTTATTGGAACCTAGGACTTTGGAACCTAAAGAGCTGAAGCACAGGCCCCTGACTTCGGGGTACCACCTGACCACTGCAGTGTCTTCTTTTTCTCTCGGCTGACCCAGTTCCCAATGAAATGGAACGATTGTTCTGTCCTCAGGTGAAGTAGGTAGCACATTTTAAGGCACTTATTTGAAGAGACTTTAGTGAAGAGACTGTTTACAAAATGTGTGGGAATGGGGTTAAAGGGAACCAGTAAGCATTAGTGAAAGACCCAGAGACTAGCGACAGCAGGTAACAGTTGAAAGGACTCAAGGGACAAAAGGAGGAAACTGTGCTATTGAGTCATTGAAGAGGGGCCACTGATAGTGGAACACAGCCATTGCCAGAACACCTGAAAGGCATGGGTGGGCATTAGGAAATACTCGGCCTCTGACCTTGTCCCCTACAACGCTGGTTCCTTTCACTGACTAGTCCCAACTAGAAATCAAGGGCAAGTGGGGGGACGGCACCACTCTACAAGGCACAGGGAAAGTTGGAGAAAGGAACTGAAAGTCAAATAGACTAAGCACCACATACATCTAGTCTGCAGATGTTGTCTTCCTGGAAGTCATTAAACCTCAGCTGATAGTGAATTAAAATTACCTGGTATCCCTTTACATTCAGAAATTATCTTTGCTGTGTACACTGAACTTAATACGTGAAAAAAATGATACACTCATTCTAGGAGCAGTTGTTTTTGTGTGTCTGTCTAGAACATTTACTACACAGACTTTTTGTGTATTTTTTTCATCCTCTTTAGTTACAAACATGGAGCCAAATGTGCATGATAATTCTGTCAATTATTAGGGTAGTCCTTTAGCTGACCATCTTTCTGGGCGGTGTTTTCCATTGTAAGAAATGGTAGTGAGCAGTTGAAAGAATATTGGTAACAGAATTGGGAAAAAGAAATTTAGTTCATGTAAATCATGTAAGAGTTACTATTGAGATAAGAAAAGCTTTATATTCCATAATTATTATTTTTTAATTTAGGTAATTGCCTGTGAACTTGACCCAAGGCTAGTAGCTGAACTGCACAAAAGGGTGCAGGGCACGTGAGTATTCATAATGGAATTAAAGTGCATTTCAATCTCATAAAACAATATTCTTTTATAAGTTTTGTTATTTTGTTATTATTATCAGACCTCTGGCCAGCAAACTTCAAGTAATGGTGGGTGATGTGTTGAAAACAGATTTGCCATTCTTTGACGCTTGTGTAGCAAATTTGCCTTACCAGGTATGCTTTCAGACTGTTGGGAACGTTATATTAAATATTTCTCTGGTGTGTCTTTCCCAGAAATAACTAGTTAATTCTTTTATAGATCTCTTCTCCTTTTGTCTTCAAGTTGTTGCTGCATCGACCTTTTTTCAGGTTTGTAACCAACACCAAAGTGACTGCCAAACAACTAGAGAAATTGGGATTATGTAGGATAGGATACATGTCTACACACCTATGCAGTGGCTTCTTAAGGTGTCTCCAGGACAATCTAAATCAGTCATTTTCAAACTGTAAGCCAAAACCCCCTTAGTGGTTATAAAATAAATTCAGTGGGTCATGATTATCTTTTCTATTTTTTTAATGATATGGAATAGAATATATTAGAGGGTCTTAAGTGCAGGTAGCCCAGGTGATTATAGTTTTACAAAACTTTTGCTTAAGTTACATAAGGACATATACATACAGATGTTTGTGGCCTGGGTGGCAATGTCAAATATATTTCTTAATGTGACTTAGTCAAAAAAGTTTGAGTCAAAACCTAATTTCAAGCCTCCAAAAGCCTGTCATTGCTTGCTGAATTAGAAGGGGAGAAAAAAATCTTCATTTCCTTATCTGCTAAATCAGAACACTGATTTCACAACCTGCCTCAGCTCTTCCATAGGGTGTCTGCTACCCCATGAATAGAATTTATCTGAGTCAATTTTGTTTGTTTGGGTTTTACTTTCCTAGAAGGGGTGAGATAGATTGGTGCTGATTTGAAATACTTTTTCATTTGATCATTGAGGGCTTACATTGGCAAAGGGTAAGAGGTATAACCATTATAAAGTGAAAAAGCCAACTGGGGCCGAAACCAGTTTTGTTCAGTGGATAAAGCATCGGCCTGCGGACTGAAAGGTCCCAGATTCGATTCTGGTCAAGGGCATATACCTTGGTTGCAGGCACATTCCTAGTAGGGGGTGTGCAGGAGGCAGCTGATCCATGTCTCTCTCATCAATGTTTCTAGCTCTCTATCCTCCCTTACTCTCTGTAAAAAATCAGTAAAATATATATATTTTTTTAAAGTGCCAACTGGGTCATTTTGCAATAATAAAGGCTGAGTGTTCACCTATCTTCCTACCAGCTGGACTAATAGTCATGAACTACCGGTGTTGCTTTGCTCTGTTTCCCATTCAAGAAAATCTGTTGAAGTTCAAATATATTAATAGTTGAAAGTGACCATTTTCCTTATTCCTTTTTGTTGTCTTTTCAGATGTGCTATACTTATGTTTCAAAGAGAATTTGCTCTCCGACTGGTTGCAAAACCTGGAGATAAGTTATACTGCAGACTCTCAATTAACACACAGCTGCTAGCCCGTGTGGACCATTTAATGAAAGTAAGTGACTATTATTGAACTAATGTGACTTAACTCATCCTCTGGCATCTAGCTGTGCCTTCTGTAAGGAGAGCATATTTGATTACTAATTTAGTTATTTTTGAGATGATTACTAAAACAGTTTCTGATTAACAGGTTGGAAAGAATAACTTCAGACCACCACCCAAGGTGGAATCCAGTGTTGTAAGAATAGAACCTAAGAATCCACCACCACCTATCAATTTTCAGGTGAGGTTAAATACTAGGTCATTCAGTGAAAGAGGAAAATGTCCAAGCTGGGAGATGTTTGTAATAGCAGAAAAATACTGAGTCAACCGAAATGTCCTAACAGGAAAGTGTTAATTATGATGCATCCTGTGATGGAGTAGGTGGAATAATTTGACTCAAGATAGTTGTGAAGACCACACAAGCACGTGGAAAATGTTTGCAAAATGTCAAAAGATTAGAATTCCATTGCATTTGGTTGAGGATTATAGGTACAGAAAACATTTCTATTTGAATAAGACTTGGAAAACAAGATGAGGTGAAAATAGTTGTTAGAATAATATTATGGGAAATACTTTTTAATTAAAACTCTCATTTTTTTATTTAAAAAGGGAAGGAAACCAAATCACTTGATATAAAACCTTACTGCAATCACTTTGGATAAGAACATGCTTGTCTGGTCAATAACTGATGGTAAATGGAATGGCTTGTCAATTACTCCTTCAAAGGAGGCTTAGGTGTTTTGCATAGGATATATTCTAAATTATGCTTGTTTGAATCGTGTTGTTTTTTTTTTAATTTTCTTTATTGATTAAGGTATTACATATGTGTCCTTATCCCCCTATTACCCCCCCATCCCTTTCTCATGCTCTCACCCCCCTGGTGTCTGTGTCCATTGGTTAGGCTTACATGCATGCATACAAGTCCTTTGGTTGATTTCTCCCCCTTATCCCACCCTCCCCTGCCTTCGCTCTGAGGTTTAACAGTCTGATAGATGCTTCTCTGCCTCTGGATCTGTTTTTGTTCATCAGTTTATGTTCATTATGTACCACAAGTGCGTGAGATCTTGTGATATTTCTTTCTCTTCACTTAGCATAATGCTCTCCAGGTCCATCCATGCTATTGCAAATGATAGGAGTTCCTTCCTTTTTATAGCAGCTAGTATTCTATTGTGTAGAAGTACCAGTTTTTTAATCCACTCATCTGCTGATGGGCACTTAGGTTGCTTCCAAATCTTAGCTATAGTACATTGTGCTGCTGTGAACATAGGGTTGGATATGTCCTTTCTGATTGGTGTTTCTAGTTTCTTGGGATATGCTCCTAGAAGTGGGATCACTGGGTCAAATGTCAGTTCCATTTTTATTTTTTATTATATATTTTTTATTGATTTTTTTTTTTTTACAGAAAGGGAGAGGGATAGAGTTGGAAACATCAATGTGAGAGAACTATCAATCAGCTGTTTCCTGCACACCCCCTATTGGGGATGTGCCTGCAACCCAGGTATATGCCCTTGACTGGAATCGAACCTGGGACCTTTAAGTCCACAGGCCGACACTCTATCCACTTAGCCAAACCAGTCAATTCTATTTTTTAGTGTTTTGAGGAAACTCCATACTATTCTCCACAGTGGTTGCACCAGTCTGCATTCCCACCAGCAGTGGATGAAGGTTCCTTTTTCTCCGCATCCTCACCAGCACTTGTCATTTGTTGATGATAGCCAGTCTGACGTGTGAGACAGTATGGCATTGTCATTTTGATTTGCAGCTCTAGGATAATTGGTGATTTTGAGCATGTTTTCATATGTCTCTTGGCCTTTTTAAAAAATTTTTTAATACATATTTTATTGATTTTTTACAGAGAGGAAGGGAGAGGGATAGAGAACTAGAAATGAGAGACATTGATCAGCTGCCTCCTGCACACCCCCTACGGGGGATGTGGCCACCACCAATGTACATGCCCTTAACCGGAATCAAACCTGGGACCTCTCAGTCCACAGACCTATGCTCTAGCCACTGAGCCAAACCGGTTTCGGCTCTCTGGGCCTTCTTAATGTCCTCTTTCGAAAAGCATCTTTTTAGGTCAATTGCCTGTTTCTGACTGGGTTATCTTTTTTTTTTGTTAAGTTGTATGAGTTCCCTGTAAATGCTGGAGATTAAACCCTTACCAGAGATAACATTTGCAAATATATTCTCCCATACAGTGGGCTTTTTTTTTTTTTTTTTTTTTTTTATTGGTTTCTTTTGCTGTGCAGCAGCTTTTTGTTTTGATGTAGTTCCATTAGTTTCTCTTTAGTTTCCATTGCCCTAGGAATATTGGTGAAGATATTGCTTTCAGCCTATGTCTGAGATTTTGCCACCTGTGGATTCCTCTAAGATTTTTATGGTTTCCTATCTTACATTTAAATCCTTTAGACATTTTGAGTTTATTTTTGTGTATGGTGTAAGTTGGTGGTCTAGTTTCATTTTTTGCATGTATTTGTGAATCATGTTTTTTTAAAATGACAGGTGGCATATTGACACTTTTGGTGCCAAAATGCTATATTGGTTCAGATGTGGAAGAATGTATTCTTTTGTAATTGAGGTTAAAAATATTCAGTGAGGTTAAAATATTCAGTGAGGTGTACAAAAGTTTAAAAAAAAAAAAAGTATATATCTTACTTTGGCATGTGTCAGCCACATCAAGATATAGAACATTTTCATCAACTCTAGAAGGTTTGTTCCAGGTTTATATGTTAGGAGACACAATAATACCTAACAGGCCTAGAAAAGAAGTTTGACATTTTGTAAGAAAATATTCATCTCTTTCAGGAATGGGATGGGCTAGTAAGGATCACGTTTGTTAGGAAAAACAAGACACTGTCTGCTGCTTTTAAGTAAGTATTTTACTAATTTATAATGTATGAAGGATCAATGCTCCAGACATTGGGCTGCTAGAATTTTGTCCTTTCCTGAACATATATATCCTAAGCATAATGACTGCCCATGTCCCAGACACACTTTACCTTTTAACTGACTTTGTACTTTGGGAGGCAGAATTTAATGAAGTTCCTAGAGTTGGGAATTAGGTCAGGTTTATTGGAAAAACAGGGAAAAACAAAACAAAAACTGACTACACATCGGCCTACATTTTCCTTGGAAAAATAGTGATGAGGGACCCCTTCGCCATTTTTGTAGGATTCATTTTTTTTTATTTACTTGGGAAAATGTAATAGCATTTTGGGGTAAAAAAGGTGAAAAGTTTAATTTTAGATAGATATATACATATATTTAAAATATTTTTATTAATTTTAGAGAGGGAGAGAAATATCAGTGAGAGAATCATTGATTGGCTGCCTCCTGCACACCCCCCAACTGGGGATCAAGCCCAAGGCCCCTGGCATGTGCCCTGAGTGTGGGAGTTGAACTACGACCTCCTGGTTCACAGCTTGATTTTTAGGTGAGGTTTTGTGGAGAGTCTGGAATTTCATTAACATGTTATACGCCATGTCAGTCACCTGTGACTAAAAAGGAAAGGAAGACAAAACAGGCTTAATGCTTAACATATTAAGAATTGGAGATGTTTATTAGGACTTTACTTTTTAAATATAACTAGTTTGTGGTTGTTTCTTAAGTTTTAAATATTAATACCCTTTTTAGTTTCTTAATTTCACCATATGAAACATTTTTATCTGATAATAAAAGGAAATTGATAATCTCTAATTTTGGAATAATAATACTAATGTCATTTATGCTACAGGTCAAGTGCAGTACAGCAGTTATTGGAAAAAAACTACAGAATTCACTGTTCAGTCCATAATACTGTAAGCAGAAAATGTTTGATTTAAATTTGTATTTTAAAATATCCCCCTCTTATTCCTTAATATCTATCAAGATTCTTTAATTTTATACATTCCATAAAATCCTTAAAAGATCACAAGAAATGTATAACTAGCACAACAGGTCAGTGCTCACGTATATTCTGTGGAACAGATCTGAGAAACCTCAGTTATTCCACTGTCTTCTTTAACAGCTGATAGCTGTTTCAGCCATAGATTCAACTGAGTTATTTCCTCAAAGGTGTAGGCATGTGCAGTTTGCTCAGCTTAAAATAATTGTGACAGTCCTTTCTTGTCTGTTGCTCATATAGCAACTATAAATTTAAAATGTCAATACCTAGATTAGAATAAAGTAGACTGAATAGCAGATTTCTGGTTGTAAGCCTCATGCCTCTTAATCATTATCACTGCAACATTTTCTTTAATCAGTTTTGTGTCTGTGAGCACATAAACATCTATATATATATAAAAGCCAATCAGCTGGAACAACCAGTCTCTATGATGCACAATGTGGCTGTCCAATCAGCCTAATGGGGGTGGGGCTGGCTGGCCAACTTCTCAGCCCTTCTCCCCCACTGCCTGCCTCAATCAGCCTTGGTAGGGGCAGGCTAGCCGAACCCCCCCCCCCATGCAAGAATTTGTGCACCAGGCCTCTAATATCCATATATAATGACTACCGTGTTTTCCAGCGTATAAGATGACCGCCTAATTTTACAGTTAAAACATAGGTTTAGGCCTATATTCGCCATATAAGACTACCCTCCACTTCAAAGAAAAGACTTACTTTGCTGTCAAGATCTGCAGATAATTTTTGTGCAATTTTGGTCTTTTGCCCCCGATTTTTGGTTGACTTTTTTTCATTTCAAAAGTCATTTTATACGCCGGAAAATACGGTATTTATTAGTTCTTTCTAATAAATTAATTAGAGCAGACAGAAAAAAGCAAATTTCCGTTCTAATTTTTGGACTCCTACGGCTTAATATATTACATTGCTACTTCCATTTTCTTTTATAAACAAAATCATTAAACACTGCTTAAGTAAAATATTAAGCTAGATTAAGAAAAATCTTTGGATGAAAAATGTAAAGTTTGATATGTTTAATATTCCTCAAGAGTTGGAGGCCATCTCTTTAGAGAAAAATTGTTAGGAAAATGACATTGGTGCCAGGAAAAATGTGAGTTGTTTTAAAAGGAGTAACAATTGCTTTATAATTTAGTTTTAGCTCTAATTATTTTGTTATGAAAAGCTGAAACTGATTTTAAGGATTTTAAAAATGAGGACAATATTTTTTTAATGTATTTTATTATTGATTTCAGAGAGAGAGAGAGAGAGAGAGAGAGAGAGAGAGAGAAACATCAATGATGAGAATCATTGACTGGAGATCAAGCCGGCAACCCAGGCACGTGCCCTTAACCAGAATCAAACCCATGACCCTTCAGTCCGCAGGCCAACGCTCTCGTCACTGAGCCAAGCCGGCTAGGGCGAGGACAAAATTCTTGATCCATTCATTTATTTGATGATTTCCGAGTATTTGGTATGTGCTAAAGATCAATCACTTAGGTGCAAGTATGGACAGGTAGTAACTATTTTATGACTTACTGAACTAAAAAAGAGAGTCAAGGTGACTTCATTAAAGATATGTTCATTTATTCTGAATCTTGATAGATAATACCAGAAGATTTCAGCATAGCAGATAAAATACAGCAAATCCTAACCAGCACAGGTTTTAGTGACAAGCGGGCCCGTTCCATGGACATAGATGACTTCATCAGGTAATTCACTTTTCTTTTCCTAAGTGTTTACATTTCTTTACTGTCACACCTTAAGATGAGAGATTTAAAGGCTTTTAAGTGGTTTAAGGTGCTACCTGGGAGTTATTGCATAGCACTTCCAAGGCATAGAATGGTATTTGGTGTAGAAAATGGAGGCTAGTTAGCTGCAGCAGAATGAACATTTTAAGAATAGTAGTAAATAACAGTCCTATCCTGGAGATTGCCTGTGTCAATGTGTGTTGGGATGTGTATTTAACTTCCTCCTCTGTCTCCTTATTCATAATCTATTGTGGGCAGGAGAATCCTAAGACATGTAGTTGGATCTCACTTTTTTCTTTTTTATGGAAATATTTTTTTAAATTGATTTCAGAGAGGAAGGGAGAGGGAGAGATAGAAACATCAATGATGAGAATCATTGATTGGCTGCCTCCTGCACACCACCTACTGGGGATCGAGCCCGCAACTAGGCATGTGCTCTTGACTGGAATCAAACCCAGGAACTTTCAATCCCCAGGCCAACACTCTTTCTACTGAGCCAAACTGTCTAAGGGTCTTACTTTTTTCTTTATTGGGCATAGCGATTGTTAAATAGACCATAAGCATGAAATAGTTTATTATAATCATATCTGGTTATCATTTATAATTGCTTTAGTAATGTGGTTACTTGTTTTGTAATTATCTGGGCAATGTACACCAAAATTTATTTTCCTTGAATTATACAAGTCTCATGAAAATAGAATAAGTCTTCAGTTCCCCAGGTAATTATTAACCTGTATTCACTGTTTTTAATCACTGACACTTTGATTTACTCATAAACCATCACATAATATAGAAGTTTTTGCATCATTAGCTAAATCATTTTTAAAGCATTGATGGTCTAGGTGTTGAATAAAAGAACAAGGGTAGGTGGTTACAAAAGTCATTGGTTTGACTTTTCTAAGCTGGAAATATAGTTCTATATAACTAAGACAAGGTTTACATTTTATATTGGCAGGTTAGGAATACTACTGAGTCTTTATTCAGTGTTAGTCCTAGGAATTAGATATTGCTCATAAATACCTAGCTTCCTTTTTTATATGTTTTAACCCATCCTAAAAATAATCTCCATTCTAAATAGAAATATTTCTTTCATTTTCACCAAATTTCTTCCAGTCTTCTTTTTCACTTACAATGTTGAAACAATTGCTAATGAGCTCTTAGGTATGGGATAATAGAGGTCTATGATACTTTTAATCAAATTCATAATTTAAGACATACAGGCTATGACAAAAAGACGTATTAAAAAGATGGGTTTTAATCACTCATACATTTAGTTGGCGAATGTTTCTTTTATGATTAGTGTTCAGAGTGGGTGGGCTTCATAGGTTTGCTGATGTGTTCATGTTTTAGAATTCATAGCATGGGAACTATATGCACTGTTCGTTATGTGCTACAAATTAGTTTTTCAATACCATCTTACTTTGGCTTCTTTTTTCAGATTGTTACATGGATTCAATGCAGAAGGTATCCATTTTTCTTAGGTATCTGGAAAACAGAATTTTCAAACTCAAGAAAAGAAACTTGAAATATTTTTTAAAATTTGAGAAGATTGGGACACTGTGCTTGACTATTTTTTATTTAATGCTGTTACTAGTAATTAGTTCAAATTTCTAAGGTAGTTAAGTCAATTTAAGTTCCCAAGGTTTTTTTTTTTCTGTTTATTTTATATCTAATACAGGGCAGGGTCCAGACTATACATGATAATTTTCAAGAGCCGTTGACACGCACAACTTTAAAACTTATTTCTAAGAGGTTATTGTATAAAGATATTACTCTTCTGTATTCTGTGTTATATATTACTGTGAAGACCTCTTTAGGCCTTCAGCTCTTTAGTCCTTTATCCCTCAGGTATAAAGTTAAGTATGCTTAACTGAGTCACATATTCCCCCATACCATTTCTTCTTATTATTCATATGTACAGTAAAACAGTGTTCTTATATTTTAATTGTTTCTCTCTCTGTTTATCCTATACAATTTCTATCACTCCCTACCTACTCCTTACTTATCCTGTAACATCACAGTTACATCAGAGTTCTGAGTAAGCTTAAGTCTGCTCCTGGACCATGTGGTGCCAGACATATTATTTCTGGGAATGATCCCTTACCTGTAAAATGAGGATGCTCAACTGAAATGTAAAATAAACTATAAGATTGTATGTTTTTTTCTTGTGGAGATAATAGTTTTAACAAAATTTCCAGAGATTTTTTAGAAATCAGAACTTCATTTAAGATATCTGCCCATCAATTTCAAAACAAACAAAACTCAACCAGTAATTTTCTCACAAGAACTGGCTCAGTATTTCTCCTATAATTTTTGGATAATTAAAATTTCCAGCACTCTTTTATATATGTGATGCTTAACTATATTTAAAATGTAAGGTTGATCATTTCAGTAGATGTAATAACCATATCTTAGTTACTATGTCTAAATCATTATCAATATAATATTGTTAATGTCCTTTAATAAAGAATTATATATAATAGTTGGTTATTTTATTTATGTAAGGAAATAAAAATATCTTCATTCTTTATACCTAACAGAAGTGTTTCAAAAAGGAAGTTCATTTGTGTACCTAAACAGATTTTTTTTTGAAATATGACTTCAAAATATTAAGCTACCTATATAATGATCATGTATTTTTATTACTTATTAATAAGAATACCAGCTTTCAAGTCTGAGGAAGTAAAGAATGTTTAATTCATATCCAAAAAATTTTTAAATAGCTGTATCAAGCCACTTTTGTTAATAAATATTATACTTGGGTAGTTTAAATATAAAAAATTACTTTGCAAAATTCACTTGTACTATTTCTAGTCTTACAGGAAAATTTTAAGATTTATTCATTCAGCTTTCCCTCTAAACCTTAGTAATTGCTGAGTTTTAGTCCCTTTTCTGGCCCTTAGCTTCCCTATCAGTAAAACAAGTACTGGATTATACCACTAGTATAATTATACTTTTCTGGTGTGCTGATTTTTCATATACCTTGATTACTGATCAGAATGAAGCCATTATAGAATAAAGAGGCACATTTAAATATAAGGGGACCTTCTAGAGACACTATCTCCTTCTATTTTAAATAAGACTAATCTGTTGTGCTTTACAATAAGCAAACTCAAATCTTTTTATTGTCTTTTGAAAGTTGGTTAGGCTCAAAAACTGCCTTTTTAAACAGCCTCTGCAAGGTCAATAGTTTTCCATTCTTCCTCTTCTCTTTGAAATAAACACAAATAGAACATATCTTACAGCTGCAAGAAAAGCTGAGTCTCTTTCAAAACAAAGGTCTCTAAACTCATTCAATAGATTCCATTTATTAATAAGCACATTGTGAAAATCTACATTTGTTCTGGATTTCAAGTTTACAGAGGAGTATTTCACCATGGTATTAGGATTTTCCACAACTACCCTCTGAGTTGTCTGAAGTGAAGTAGCGAATCTGGCTCATGTGACTAGTATTCATAGCTTCCCTGTGGCTCAAAGGAATGAGCTATTACTTTCCTAGAGTAAGTCAAAACAAAATATCCTTGGGAGATTTTGTTGTTGTTAATATACTCCTGGATTCTCCTAGGAGCTGAGGGAAATGTCCTAGAGAGATATATAAATTGTTTAACAAAATATTTACATGAAAAGTAGCCAGTTTTCTTCCTTGGAGTAGCAATCTGTAAAAATAAATGTTACCATTTAAAAAGTAGCACACCCTAGACCAATTTATTGTTGAGAATTTGGTGGTTCTCACCAAGTAATGGTGAAACATCATACATTAGGTAATGGACGGAGCTTAGGTTAGATCTGCCTTTTAAGGCAAACTCGTTAGCTTAATTCTCTTTTAAGGGAGTTATGTACTGTCTATACTTGGTTTAAACTAACAGTTCTATTACAGACTACTTCCAATGTATTATGTAAATGTTCATCATGCATCAGAAGCCAATTTTCTTTAACAGTACATTTAAAAGGTACCTTTTGGGATGCTAATGGACACTTCAACTTAAGTAATGGTATTGGTAAGGAGCAAATTGCACTATTAGTCTTGTTAATAACACACTGGGACACACTGCATATATATGTATTATCCTAAGATAAAACTCTTCTCAGAATTCCATTACTTTTTATTATACACCAACTAGTTTATATTTTCTTTACAAAGAAAATGCTAAGAAAATTATATCCACATGTTAAAAGTTTTAAAACCATAATTCCAGATTTCTTTACATATAAGATGGAGTGGTCCAGCAGCTATGTCCACTGTCACAGACTTTAGTTCCATTCAATGATATGGCACATCCTGCAAAATTAACTAGCAACACAAAAAAAAAATGCCTCAAATACAGTAAAAATGTACACACAAAGGTAATTTACAATGACAAATAAGGAATGTAATTTAACTTGGCTGTGCATCAGAAATTCAGGGTCAATAGCCTTAGTCAAGGCACAAAGCAGAAAGAGGTGAGCACAGCTGTCCCTACGAGCGGCACAGTATGTACAATCACAGATGAGGTATGCATGCACACAAAGGATTTAAAACTGCTCAGTCTTGCTACGAAAATTGAACTGAGTTAAAAGGAAATGCTGTGGCTCTCCCCTACTACTCACCCCTGGATCAAGTCCACAATCTTACTTCATCATGTAGAAAATAAAATTGGCAAGGATCTCCAAAAGTAAATCACTATTTGGGGAAATGAAACAAAATGCTTCACTATTCCCAAATCTTGGTTGTGCCTTCTATTATAGACTAGAAGCATTTTGTAGACAAAGTTGTGTTTCACAAAACTGAAATGTCATTCGGGTGAAGGGACAAGACATTTTCCACAGACACTTAAAATTTCAAACTTTCAAATGGCCCTTACAGCTGAACCTTGTATGTTAAAACAGTGAGGGTTCTGGGGATCCTTTAGCAGCAAATGCCAACTTAAAGGGCACGGGGTCTCTTAGGGTTGATTTGCTTGCTGGCCTGTTCTTCTTCTTGTAGAGCTGCACGAAAAGATTTCACTTTATCTTGGAAAAAGAAAAGAGCAGGGAGTAAGTATTGCATCACAGGCAACACAGTATACAACTTATGAGTATCAAGTTGGCTCTCTTATTTCATAATCTTAACCCAAGATTTTTCCTTTTGTTTTTTGTTATCAAAAAACTCAGAACTAAATACAGTGCTCAACCATAGCAACAGTTTCATTATAGATTCCTAGAAATACTTGCATTTGCTATTGTCAACAGGTTTCTGGTTGGCATTTTTTAGTGTTTAATTTTAATTTGTATTCCTTTTGGAGGGTAGACAGGCTTTATGTGTATGTAAAATATGTATTCATGTCCAAAAGGAACATTATGAATCTATTAAACTGTAGAACAGACATTCCTTCTCTCAATGTTAGAAAACTTCTACTCACTCCCATTGACTATTGTTTCTTTTTAAGCTATGAATTTTAAGAAAGAAATAATGGCTATAGAAGGGGGTTTCAGGGTAATGCATTTCTTGGTCTTAAAATTCTATTACCCAACTACCATATACTAAGAGTCATTTAAGAATAGAAAATAGATAAGTAAATTGGCAGAGGCATCTTCCTATAACAATCATTCTCAACCCAGGTGATTTTAGCCCCACCCTCCTACTCTGGGGACATTGGATAATGCCTACAGAACTTTTTGATTGTCACAACTTTAGTTCGGAGTGGTGCTACTGTCATCTAGTCTGGAAACCAGGATGCTGGGTAAACATTGTGCAATGTACAGGACAGCACCCCTCCACTGAATTATCCAACTTACAATATCTTCAGAAGAAAGCTGCAAATTTATTTCCTTCTTTGGAAATACAACAATGTTTTTAAAAAGTTGACTTTTCTAAAATTTAGTCAGAAAATTAAGGATTTCTCGATCTGTTGGATGCTAATATAATGGCCCTTAAACTAATTAATACCAAAATTATGCCTTGATGATAAAACATAAGAAAAAGATGAATAATACACAACTGGACAGTAATTCCTTAAGAGTTCCAGATATGCTTGATGTACATGAATGAGAAAATTAAGGAAAAGAAGTCAATTAAGTTTAAAGCTACATATAAGCAGAAAAAAAACTTGAATGCTTATGCTGTATTTTCTGAATAAAATGCATATAGAAAAGCTGCTTATGAGTTATGGCAGATTAGAAAAATGATCAAAACACTTTAAATCAAAGCTTGAACATGAAAAACAAAAGTACTAATAAATTTTAGAAACCCTACATTTGCACAACAAATTGGGGAAATGCTGACTCCATATAAATGACCGTTATGACCGAACAACTGGAATGACCCGCCGACCAGTCACTATGACACACACTGATCACCAGGGAGTAGATGCCCAAAGCAGAAGCTGTCCCTGGTGGTCAGTGCGCTCCCACGGCCAACATCCTGTGGCCAACTGCCTGTGGTCCCTCCCCGCAGCCAGCTGGCCCTCATCAGCCCTTGGTGCTAAACCTGCTTCTAGGTCAGGTTTTCTTATGTAGCAGAGCAGTTCCCTCACTGCGATCTATTAAAAGTCAGCCCTGGACAAAAAGGTTGTCTCTCTCCTGTCCTCTCCCTTCCCTGGGGGCCGCCTGCCTGCCCAGCCTGCCATAATTGCACGGCAAGGGAAGGAGGAGCGGGGAAGATAGGGAACCTTGGAGTGGCAGGGCACCAACGGCAGCATTGGTGTCCCTTCCCTCTGTGCCCGGCCTGGCAACCATCACCTCCTCTCCCGACCTCACTAGGGCCCATGGATCTCTAGTAGGATATGATATCAACCAATCTCACAAAGGACCTATTTTTTAAAATTAAGTAGCTTATTTGGTGCTAAAAACTAGCAATTTCAATTTTCATTTTGGTTTTATGTTGCACTGCATGTACACACTGATGCCCACTCGGGTATAAATGGAGACAGCTAATTTGCTAATGCCTAAAAAAATTAGTACATACAGTAAATAAATGTGTATCTGAAGCTGCAGATAAGCTCATTAAAAAGCCAAGCACACATTACATGTGAATAAGCCACATACTTCTTGAAATCTTCCTCTTTTTCAAAACAAGTGTTCAAAGGAAAAACATGAAATAAGCTGCAGAGAAGGAGATATAGGTAGGTGGCTATAGAAAGAAGACCCTGAATAGATTTAATCCAAGGAAAATAATTCTGAAAAGCACTGGCTTACTAACTAAAATGATAAATGGGTCTATAAAATTTACAAATTTCTTTAAGTTCCTTCTAATCTTATTTCTCAAAAGATTGAAAGAAAAAAAAGACTAGAGAACACTTGAAATGGTACTCTCCATGTTTCTTTTTCAAAAACAGAATGGTTGGTGTATCTATATACCTCTAAAAAGATGTTAAATATTGCCCATAATTTCCACTTCAGATGCTCTCTTGCAATATGAAATCCTCCCACTAAATACATACAAATATTAAGCAGATTAAAAACATTAAAAAAGAATTACCCCGCAGCTCAGTTAAAATGTCTATTTTTTGCTCAAGAATAGCTTCAAGTTGTGTAGCATATGAATCAACATCATAGTCCACTTCTTCAGTCATCTCTAGAAGAGCCTTTTCATCTTCTAACCATCGAATAGATTCCTAAAAGGATAAAAATTCAATTAATCCATTAAGGCACTTTGTAAGACAAAAACCAATTTACAAATTCTACATATGTTAAAAATCATCAAACACACTCAAGATGGTATTCTCTAAAATATTACTAACCATAAAACATCTTCATTTACCGAGTAACATTAATATTTCTAGATTCAAATACAAATATCATGGACCAAGCAAGATGGCTTCATGGAATGAATTACACAGTACTAAGTACTAAGTATCAATGAGCGGAGTCTCAAAACCTCAATTGCTATCCCTAAAGCAGGGAAAAAATGGATGTAAGAAAGCTACTGAGCAATCCAATGACATCTATGATAGGCTTAGAACTTGTAAATTATCTGGAATTAATATGTCCATTGGAGCCACACAGTTGGACCAAGAGGTAGCCCTAAATTCAAAACACTAGTTCTTCAAAATTACTGTGATTCTAAGACCAATGGATAGCCAATCTTAGAAGACTCAAATGAACCACTTAATAGTAGCTATTTACCATTCATAAATGTTCAAGGAAACCCCTCATTCTTAACTGATTTTAGATATGTGAATTTATGAGTTTAATTTTCTTATAATGTCATGAATCATAAAAATTTGTATCATTATCAGATCATTCAAATTAGAATTTTTGGATATAAAAAAGGGATACTTTTTAGATTGTTAGAGCATATATAATTTCAATTCTCCAAACATCAATGCAATTTAATGGCTAATTATAATTAGACTATGTGTCACCAGACAGAACTGGTTAACCTAGAAATAGTTACCTATTAGAAAACTGTATATGTGTCAATTAAAACACACATTCCCCAGTATTTTTTCTTTTCCTTCAGCTATATACTTAATTTTTTAAAAACAAAACCTTATTTTGAGAAATGACAGATCAAAGTATAAATGAAAATAAATGGATTATAAAGATACTGGCTTGAAAGTCAGAACATGAAGTTTTGCCAATAATCAAATAAAAAACTTTTAGAATTCATCATATAATGGCACAATGGGAAATGGTCTTTATGTGACACCTTGCTCCAATAGGACACGATTTTCTTAGAATTACAAGGGTCCTTTCTTGAGTTAGTCTAAACACACAGATCTCCAGAGATTATGATAAAGGTTTGACTAAAACGGTAACAGTTTTAATAATGTATATCCTATTCTAAAATTATAAAGTTTTTCTATATTTTTGAGCCCTTCATCCAGTTACTTGAATGGCCTAGAAAGGAGCATTAATAATTGTTTAGAGATTTCTTCAACATTAGAAAAGGAATACAGTTCTATAGGGAGAGGCTAAGCTATTGTTCACTTTTTCTCAGGAGATATTTATAGCACTGCAGAAAGGTGGGTGAGGGGTGGGGTGGGGTGGGGGAGGCAAGCTCACTGTACAGCCTTCCATAACGATATGAAATGTCCTCTTCACTTCCTCATCACCTCTTTATAGGTATCACCCAAAAGGCTACTTTCTAGTTTAAAGGGGTTGGGGAGGCAAAGAATGATCATACAGTAAAAGTGTTTATAATAGGATGAACACACAGTGAAATGAATACTGTACCTAAGGCCTTACTGCCACCCCCCTCACTCATCCACCACTGACAGCTCAGTGAGAACAGTTACTGTCCCATCCCTCCCTGAAGCCTTCCTTTCTATGTAGACTGACACCTCCTCAACTGCTCTGATATTCTTTAGAAGAATTTTTTCCTTACTGCTGTCCTGACATGAAGACCCTCCAATATACTCACCTAACATGAAAAAAAGGGGTATTGGAGAGCAAAAGTTCAATCCTTCTGTAAAAATGGACAACTGACAAATGCAAATAAAATGGGACAATGGTAGTAAATAAACTAGACCTTTAAAGAAAGGTTATTTGTAGCTACCGCTCAAATTTTGTACTCAAAATTTGACCTCTCTTGTCTTACAAATAAATATCTGCATACACACAAACAAGTTTTTTTTTTTTTTTTTTTTTTAGATTTGTGTGTGAGTTAAAAATTGTTTTTTGTTAATTTCTCTAAAAAAACATTTTGATGAAAGAACCTGCCTTACTTTACCTGGAACACTGCCCTGTGATCTTCTACAACTTGTTCTTCCATTTCTACCATTTGTGAGACAGCTTCGTGGAAAGTAAACAATTGTGGAGAAACCTCTTCTTCCTTAAAATAAAAAGTTTTAAAATTATGACAGAAAGTTTATATTTTTAAATATAATTTAAAGAGCAGTTTTTCTATGTCATTTACAAAAATGTATTCAGAAACAGAGGAAGACTCCTAAAATATACCATAAAAGGCAAAGCCACAGTTTGTTTTTTTAAATTTTAATATATTTTTATTTATTTCAGAGAGGATGGAAGAGGAATAGATAGAAACGTCAATGCCTCCTACACACCCCCTACTGGAGATTGAGCCCGAAATTCAGGCATGTGCCCTTGACCAGAATCGAACCATTACCCTTTAGTCCGCAGGCCAACACTATCCACTGAGAAAAACTGGCTAGAGCCAAAATTTCTTTTTATGGGTCAAAAATATTTAATGTAACATTCAAAAGGACATCCTAAACTTAAGTGTATCAGTAAAGGATAATTTTCACTGAGTCCAGGCACTTTATTGCAAAATTACCCCCCCCTTCCCCACCAAATAAAGCAATCACTTTTGGAATAATGCAACTTTCAAAAATATTTTTATTGCAGAATAAATATACTGAAATATTTCCTCAGTATTATTTAATTATCACTAATAATTAGTCATATATATGTCTTTAAATTTCTTTTCACCAAAAGATATATATATATATATTTTTTTTTCATGCCTATAACTATCAAGTTGGTGTTCTGAAGGTCTCAATTCTTTTTTTAAAAATATTTCTTTATTGATTTCAGAGAAGGGAGAGGGAGAGAGAGAGAAACATCAATGATGAGAGAGAATCATTGATTGGTTGCCTCCTGTATGCCCCGCACTGGGGATTGAGCCTGCAACCCAGGCATGTGCCCTTTGCTGGAATCGAACCTGGGACCCTTCAGTCTGCAGGCCAGTGCTCTATCCACTGAACAAAACTGGCTAGGGCTGAAGATCTCAATTCTTAAAAAAAAAAAAAAAAAAAAAGTCATCCCTGTCAAAATGCTATCATTTGTTGAATCTGATTGCTTTCTATGTTTGAAATGTTTAGTAACATTTCATAATTTAAAAATTTGATTTCCCCGTTATTCAAAAAATATTATAAAATATGTGCCCACTGTATCAAGACAAAAGTGTAAAGAAGTAAAAAGCACAAATAATACATATTATCACATAGTTACTTTAATATACTGAGGGATTCCTTACTGTTTGTGAGATATAAAAAATACATAATTGATTAACTTCATTTTTTAAATGTATAATCCATATCTTTTTTTTAAACTATATTTTTAAAATTTATTTTTTATTGATTTCAGAAAGGGAGGAGAGACAGAAACTTCAATGATGAGAATCATTGATCCCTGCCTCCTGCATGGCCCCCACCAGGAACCAAGCCCGAAACCTGGACATGTACCCTAACTGGAAATCAAACTATGTCCTGGTTCAAAGGTCTACAGTCAACCACTAACCAACTGGCTGGGTGATAGGTTTGATTTTTGCTCATGCATCCTTTTAATACATATGCATGTAACCATAGTTAATTTTGTTTTTAAGCTTTATATATATTATAGTGTAAGTATAATTATTAAACTTATTTTTCCCTGTTACTTTAAAAACTCCCAAATTTTAGTAACAGTATAAAATCTGAGAAAAAGAACTTGTGAGCTATCCCATTTTTGTCACTTCTGTTGTGGTAAGAAAGTAGTCAGATAGCCCATAAATGAATGAGTATAGCCATGTTTCAATAAAATTTTATTTGTAAAAACAGATGGCTGGCTCATAGCCTGTACAGGCACACCGTGAAGATATTGCAGGTTCAATTCCAGACCATTTCAATAAAACATTTCAATAAAGGGAGTCCTAATCTTTTCGCTAGTGAGGGTCTTATCTTTAATTTATAAAAAACATACCATCTGAGAAGTGCAATAAAGTGGAACACAATAAATTAAGTATGTCTATAGTTTGCTGATCCCTAATTTAGACTTCAGTTATCAAGTTCTGCTACTGATGACATGAACTCAAATTAGATAATTAAAACTATATTAAGTCACTCACATTTTGTTCACAAAGAAGTTTTAGATCATCTCTCTGAGGGGAACTCCCCACACCCCACTGTGCCTCTAAGTCATCAATCTGATTTGGTGGATGGTGCATTATTGGACGAATATCACCAGCAGCAGTTGGATCAACAGTCAGTTCTTTCACCCTGTAAACATATAAGAGGTATCTAAAATTAATAAAGAATTATGTAGAAGAACAAAATACCAACTTATTCAATATAAATACAATTCAATTTAACATTAAAATAGATGATGTCAGCTTTGCAGATCAATTTTACCTGAAGTCTGTGAAAACCCTAAAGGGATGTTTAGCTGTTTAACTTTACAAATTTATTTAGGTAACTTTATAATTACTTTTAATGTAATTATTGTACATAATAAGTGAGAATCAGCAAAGTATGTAGAATCAGTATTTCAAAGTAAGAAACTGCTATTCAAATTATATTAAATGAACAGAAAAATGCTAACAATGGCACTTAGATCGGTAAGTAAATGTTTGCCAAAATCAGAGAATTTAATACATGTTACAGATTTTTGGTAGTTCTAATGCCCAATTTAAATAGCTACCTTAGAAATAATCTTATTCTACTGTATTCTATAAAATGTAAATTAATTCCATCATTTAAAAAATGTTTACCCATTATACTTAAATTTACACACTTGCATATACTTTCTAAGTAGAGGACCCTTGCTATTTCTTTGCATATAAGGAAATTTACAATAGCATACAGAATAAAGGTAAACTTTTCATTTTAAAGAAGACAGTTCTTTTTTTTAATATATTTTATTGATTTTTTATTACAGAGAGGAAGGGAGAGAGGTAGAGAGCTAGAAACGTCGATGAGAGAGAAACATCGACCAGCTGCCTCCTGCACATCCCCTACCAGGTATATGCCCTTTACCGGAATCGAACCTGGGACCTTTTGGTCCACAGACCAACGCTCTACCATTGAGCCAAACCGGCTTCGGCAAGACAGTTCATTTTTAATGGTAAATATGCAAAGATGACATCATCCTTAAAAATATGAGGCAAAATAAGAAGCCTGAAATCTAAATCAACATTTTAAAGCAAATAAATTAATAAAGTACACAGAAATAAATATCATGCAGTACAACCACCACCTGCCAAACAAAATGAAAATGAAAAATAAAATGGCTCAGGACAAAAGAAATGTAAATGAAATATTTATACACAGCACAATTCAAAATAAACTATTAGAATAAACATCTTATATATAGAATGAACTAGACCTGGTAATTGAAGGAGAAAAGTCGTCATACTCATAAGAAGGAGAGAGATCAGGGCGACTGCCACTACCCTGTGAGAAGGGAATGTCTGATGGACTAATTCCAAACTCCTTTACTCTGCGGCACCAAGAGAGCAACAGATTAAAATAAAATGCTCTTGTAAAAACAGCAATGCATATTTCAAACTTTCATTTAGTATTCAGTTCAATTTGTTTAGCAAAAGATATCCACATTGTTATGACTTAATGTATTAGAATATTTAAAAAATAATCCATTTTAAGATTAAAAAACTCCTCTGTCCTAAGATTTCCTATTACTACATAGTCCTCCCTTTCCTGTGTATTTCCCTCTTTTCTCATGACCCTTTCTAGAAGTTTAAACCCTCAATAAATCTGAAATGTCCCTTATTTAACTACATGGCCACTCAATCTACTTTCCTTGTATAATCAATACCATGAATATTTTAATAGCATTAATGAGGCTTCAACATTCTTGCAGTCTTTTCAAACTAATCACAAGACAATTAAGTCCTAATGATATCCATTGTTTTTAACAAATTAACTGATTTCTCATATGCCTATTGAATGGTGTCAACTATAAAGCATCTTTGGTACAAATTGAGAAAATAGTCACTCAAATAATTTTGTGTTCGGTGACTCAGATGGAGCACACTGGTTGAAAAAAGCCTTTAGTAATAGAATTTAAATTGCTTTGCTAATGTCTCTAGGTTATATTTAACAAAACTGAGGTTTTTCTGACACAACTTTTATGATTCCCTATGTTCTTTTTCAGTCAATCCCATTTCATAGTAGGAGGTAATATTTATTAAATCCTTCCTATAAACCAGACATTTTTAGTCATTTATAGGCATTATATTATTTAATACTTAAGATAATCTTGTGATATTATCACCATTTTACTGATGAGAAATGGCTCAGAGCAATAAAGTATCCTATACCCAACGTCATTCAATGAGAATAGGCATAACTGAGATTCAAACTTAGCTTTTACTATAAATCTTATATTAAACATTTCATATACTAACCATCTTCTTTTTCTCTCATTATTTCTCTTAGGTTGAACTAAATGAAATTACTGTTTTTATAGGTCAAAATAGTATTACACATCAAACTAATAATATAATGTATATCAAACTAATAAATTTCTACCTATTATACAATCATTCTTTGCTCTATCGGTAATGTCTATACAAAGATTCAATACTGGATTCATCTGCCTTTTATGCTTTATAGTCACTTTGGAAAGCTTATTTACTACACCTGCTGACAAATCTAGATTTCTAATACTACTTGACTCTTTTTACTCCCAACCTCATTTCTTATTCGGTTAATCTCCTAATTTAGAAACCCTAAACACACACTTTTCCTCTTGCTCAACCTAAACTCTATTACATGCAGCACTTATTTATATCTCTTCAATGAGCACTATCAAGGGATATTAAAAAAAATCTTTAATCCCAGAGATTTGGAAATAAGAGGCAGAATCATTTGTCTCAGCTGGTTAGTCATGTTGCAAATGAATTAATTACAAGATAATAAAACATTTTACTTGAACCCAAACACACTAGAGCAACGGCCAGACAACATTTTCACATTAGGGGAATTCTTTTACAGCCAGAAGTCTGAACACATGGAGGGTTTTTATTTGTTTTAATTTTAAGACATGGTAATATTCTACTAGACTAAGTCATTCCTCATCTCTCTCATACACAACTTTGAAATAAGAGGCATTTTAAATTAATGATTGAAACCCCACAATACAAAAAATATTTTTATAAGGATCAAATAGAAGATTTATAAAATTTACATCTAGAAACCCATAATTCAAAGTTTAAAAAGAAAATAAATTTAGAAATAAAGTTATATATTTAAGAAGCTGTTCTATCTTAACACATTATGGATGGATCACAAGAATCCTTGCTTCATATTACACAGTGTTTTACAAAGTATCATACTTTAAAAAGATATCAGCTTGTAAGGACATATAAGAAATAACTTCAAAATGAAATGGGTATTTAATTTTAAAGCATGCCTTTAACATTTATATAAAATGGTGTTTTTTTTGTACTAGCTCAATAGAAACTTATCTGGCCAGTGGGTTAAGCTAGCAATAAAACTACTGGTCTACAATGTGTTAATATCTTTTTACAAAAGATCAATAGGTTTATACTTCCTAAAGTTTTTACTATGATTTAAAAATATCTCTTCTGCTGAAGCAAAAGCAAGATAAAAAAGAACAAAGGGCACGATATCATTTATGTAAAGTTCAAACACAGCTACCTAATGTTGTTCATCGATAAATTCATAGGGAGTAAAACTATTTTTAAAAAAGAAAGAAAAAAATAAAATGTTCCATAGGAGCCAAGGCAATCAATTGCTGTCTTGGGGTAGACGCTGATGAATTTGGGAGTTATTTAGGATTTGAGATCAGTAAGGGACACACGGGGAACTTTCGGAGGAGGAGGAAATGTTTTCTTTCCCAGTCTAATGACAGGAATTTCATTTTATAAGTACTCACTAAATTATTCTCTTATGTTTGGGGCACTTTCTTGTATGCATATGTATTTCACATTTTAATAAAAGATTAAAAATAAAATTTGTATTTACCAAAACTAAAAGAATCCTAACACTAGAAATGTAATACAGAGGAATTTTATCTCTAGGTTAAAATCACAAAATGCAGTATGTGATAATAAAAACTATATTCATTCAGAACAAGTGCAATGGAAATAATCTAGGGAATAAATATAAATGTGTCCATCATAATCCAAAATTCCAAGGGCATTTCATGACTGTAAGAAATAATAATTTAGTAGTCTATAATGCTTTTTTGTTCTTTTATTTGTACCGTTACCTAAAGTTTGTAACACTACTGACATTAATAAAATGTAACCCATAAAAGACACCAGAAAGAACTGTGATATCACTATTTTAAACTCTATATTCCCCATGTACATATAACATTTAATATTATCAGAAATAATTTTCAGCATATAGCAAAACAATTTATGAAATACATATTGGCCCCCTGATAGAGTTTTAACACATTAGAAATTATTTGCATGATTCAACTGTAGAAAAATATTATGAAATCTAACTTGGGCAAATGAAAAAACATGATTGGATAGAAAGACTAATTCTACTAAAAATATAAATCTCTCCCCAAATTACACAGCATATTTCCAATTATTTTGTTAACTTGGTAAGTATTCTAAGTATCATGCAAAAATTTTTTTAAATTGGAAAAAATGTAATAAACTTTACACTATCAGATATTAAGTCAAATCAGATGCTGTTCTATTTCCCTCAAATTTCAAAATGGATAACCATTTCTCATACCTATTTGCATATCTTAATGTATTAAGAGTATTTTCACAGGATGCCATTCCTGGAGAGATTGTGGCAATCTATGGGGGAAAAATGCAAAGGTAAATAAGATGTTATAAATGATGAAGACAGTGATCCTAATATACAGGGTGGGGCAAATGTAGGCTTATAGTTGTAAGTATATGAAGCAGTCTATTCTTTTTTTTTTTTAAATATACTTTATTGATTTTCTACAGAGAGAAAGAGAGAGGGATAGTTAGCTAGAAACATTGATGAGAGAGAATCATCGATCAGCCGCCTCCTGCACATCCCCCACCAGGGATGTGCCCGCAACCATAGTACATGCCTTTGACCGAAATTTAACCCGGGACCCTCCAGTCCACAGGTCGATGCTCTATCCATTGAGCCAAACCGATTTAAGAATAGTTTATTCTTATACTATTATTTATTTCTAGAGGCCCAGTGCATGAAATTCATGCATTAGGATTGGTAGTGGTGGTGGTGGTGTGTCGGTCCCTCAGCCTGACCTATGCCCTCTCGCAGGAGGCCCATGGGGCCTAAGCTGGCAGTCAGACATCCTTAGCACTGTCGAGAAGGTGGGAGAGGCTCCTGCCACTGCCACTGCACTTGCCAGCCAGGAGCCTGGCTTCTGGCTGAGCAGTGCTCCCACTGTGGGAACGCACTAACCACCAGGAGGCAGTTCCAGCATTGAGCATCTGACCCCTGGTGGTCAGTGCACATCATAGTGATCGGTCAATTTGCATATTAGCTTTTTATTATATAGGATTGCATTATTTTTCACACTAACTGTAAACTTACATTTGCCTCACCCTTTATGTATGTATTAATAATGTGTGAACTCCAAGATTACTTCCTATCTTATGCCCATAATCATATATATATACTCTTTTTAAAAATATAAACAGGTCTCTGAATGCACCAGTAAGTGATCAAAATCAGGTATAAAATGGAGGTCAACACCTAGAAAAAGGGAATAACATTGAATGACTTCCCCACTACTCTTTAATAACATTACTACCTAAGAATCAGCCCTGCTGTTGTCACACAGGACAAGTAAAACTTCATTAGACTTAAGAGTTTCACTAACTAACTTAAGTTTACAGTAACTAAACTAAGAATTAAGAAACTAAAAAACAAGTGAAGAGGTGAGATCATAGCTGCTGCAAAGTGAAACTTGTCCCAGAAGAGACAACTACAGAAGGAGAAACTGCAATTATGCATATACATTGTCCAGTCACTTTGGAAAGCTTATTTATGACCAAATTTTGTTAAGATATCTGGCTGACTCCTAAACTAGGTGTGCACAATGCTGACTCCAACCACACAGTTGAGTCTAAAAGAGGTAAACAGAGATTTTCATTTCAGTTGCTGCCCACAGCAGGGGAGATAAGAGTTTAGAGTAAGTTCAGCTAAGTTAATTTCCTGCTACACAACAACAAAAATCAATTTTTAGAAGAGTATAACAGAATCCAGAGTGTCTATAATATATTTATCCATAATAAAAATTACATAATCTAAAATTACTACAATATGAATAAAAAATGTAAATCATACTCAAGGAAAATAGAATTCAATGGAGACTAACTTCAAGAAGACTCAGATATCAGAATTGTAGAATGCATTATAACTGCACTATAATCCTCTCTATCGGACCACATCTTAAATATCCTATTTCTCTAACAGCAGAAGGGTTTAAGTGATTGTCATTAATGTATATTATAGTTTTCCCACAGATATTATATAATTGTTCATTTGATATTAAAATAAAAGAAATAGCCCTGGCCAATGTGGCTAGTTGGTTAGAAAATCGGCCTGTGGGTTTGATTCCTGGTCAAGGGCATAGGTACCCGAGATGCAGATTAAATCCCCAGTCAGGGCATGTGAGGCAAACAACCAATGATATGTCTCGCTCACATCAATATTTCTCTCTCTTTTCCTTCCTGCCTCCCACCTACCCCTTCTTCCCTCTATTCTACTCTCTCTAAAAGTCAAAAGAAAAAATACCCTCAAGCGGGGAATAACAAAAATAAAACAGAACAAAAAAACACACAAATGAATGAACAAAAAGAAATAATCAAAATAAACCCATAAACTTACCATGCAGGTACGAGAGTTTTCACCTATGAATGAATCTCTTAACACCTGAGTGAGTTTACTTGCTCGGAAAGGAGTATGAGGTTTATTTCTACCTAAGGCTCTGATGCACTCCTGAAAATTAAGAAAGCAAACTTTAGAGATTAGGTTTCTTATAAAGAGTATTTGCCTTAACACATTTAACAGTTCTCTTACTATAATTCTAATACTTAAGACCTGATCAGCTTTAAAAATGCTACTAACAGGTTTAAATCATAGTAAAGATGTTGCCATAAATCCTAACCCAAGAAAATGAAATTAAAAAAACACACCAATGGACTGTTATTTCAAAAAGTTCTTCTGGAGACTATGACTAGTGTTTAAGAAGTGACAAGACGTAACATTAACTATAAAAAGAATCTTTTAAACTGATACAAGAGAAAAAACACAGAATGCTTTCTTATAGTTTTGTTGATCTTTGCTTTTCAAGTCAAAAAAGAGCTATAATACTGGCCTAACTTTTGAAAGCAATTCCACATTTTCCTGAGAAACAATTTCTTCATTCAGTTTTGTGGGTCCTTGCCCAATTTCACAAAAATATGACTGATTAGGGCCCTTTGGAATCTCTTCCAAGAAGCCTTGGAATTGGCCAGCCAACAACAGATTTTTACCCATCCTAATAATAATTAATAATGGGTATTGTATTATATTAACCCAGAAATAAAGAAAATTTCTGAGTACAATATAAATATGTATCTGCAAATATAATAAACAAAATTTTTATGACCTCTCCCACTTATTACTAGACAAAACAAGTACTATTGTTTTGTAGCTGAATAAATATAATTAAAAGACTGTTTACAATTAAATACATTTTATTTACCTTGAGTGCTAAAAGGCTTTTATTAATTTCAGCACCTTCAAGCCTAGTTTGCCTATCTGCACTGGAAGTATCAGCTCCTCTTTCATTTCCAGCCAAATCGATGAGAGAAAACTTGCCATGTAGTTTTCCTTTCCTTCTAAGTATAATCTGAAACACTGCATGACTCCGAGATGAATGTGCATTTGCAGATGTTTGCCCAGATGTTCTACAATGTGATGGAAGACATTTGATACATAAATAGTTTAATTTATGTTCAAACCGCAGTGTTTTCATTAAAAAAAAAAAAAAACACAACTATCCAGTTTTCATCATTTATTACAAAGGAGACATTGTGAGTTAACATTTAAATAATTTAATCTGGCACACTTCTAGTATGTTATCTATAGAATAAACATCACTCAGTTACATGTAACAACAAAAGTTTTTATGAATAATGATTTTTACTTCTAAGATGCATTGAATAATATCCTTGTTTTATTTTTGTTATAACCAAATTACATAACACTTTCCCTTTCTTAATTAAAATAAGATTTACCTGCAACTGTTACCTATGTCAATGAGTTTCAGTACATCTTCAACACATTTGACCTCCCGTTCCTGTAATCCTACCACTTGAACCTGCTGTTTTCCATCTTCTAGCACTCTTAATTTTGTTTTCCTGTTTAGCAAGTCGAACACCTAAAAAAAAATTTCAAATGGAATACTAAAGAAAAAAGAATCATTTCTATAAAAATTAGTCATTCAAAGTCTGAGTACCATTTCAGTAAATAAAATGCTCAATATTTGAGTTAAAAAGTTTCAAAGGGAATTAAAAGAAATCTCAACAAAATTTTAACATAATAGCCAAGACCGGTTTGGCTCAATGGATAGAGCATCGGCTTGGGGACTAAAGGGTCCCGGGTTCGATTCCGGTCAAGGGCATGTATTGATACCTTGGTTGCGGGCATATCCCCAGTAGGGGGTGTGCAAGTGGCAGCTGATCAATGACTCTCTCTCATCAATGTTCCTAACTCTCTATCTCTCTCCCTTCCTCTCTGTACAAAATCAATAAAATATATATATATTTTTTAAAATTCTAACATAATATTCCAATCCAAATACATATAAAAGTGATGTGGTGGCAATGGCTGCACAAAATGTAAAATGTACATGCCATTGAATTTGTATACTTAAAAATTGTTAAAATAATAAATTTTATGTTATGCATAATTTAATAAAAATGTAAGTTTCCACTTACCTTTCCACTATAAATTTCAAAAAAGGTTGCATAAACTTGAAGTTCTAACTTCTTATAGTTTGGCTTCTTTAGCATTAAAAAGACATCTCGGGCTATTAAAAATTTCATATAGAGAAAACTTGTTAATATGCAACAAATATTTTTTAAAAGCATTTCAAATTTTCTATTTTTTAGAGATAACAGTTCATCTTTACTTACAATAACATCAATAATGAAAATATAGACTAAAGTAAACATCAACGTTACAAAAGATAGTTCTAATTGTTTTATTTTTAGTCTTAAGGCTTAGATGCCACTCTCTTTCATTATTTAATAAAAGGACGCTATCTATCCTTATAAGGTTGTTCTCATAACCATACCAAATGGAATCTTTTCACAAATCATTATTCAACAACAAACAGTAAGCTCCAACAATGTGACAGATTACAATGACATATAGATAATCAAGATTTCTGCACAGTTCTTTCAAGTAGTCTGATAAGCTAAAATTGACATACTACACAGCAAATATAGTATTAATTCTGGGATAATATGTCCAAGTCTTATTTCAAGCCATCTGAATATATTAAAGAAGAATATTACAAATGATATGTAAAAACAAACAAACAAAAAACTATAAAACATAGTTACCTGCTAATGCATAAATTCCTTTAGAACAATCTTGGTTTTTTCCTGAAAAGTCACCTCCCATAGTCTATATGTTAAAAAGAGAGTAAAGAATAACATACATTATTCAGGAATAAATCTTAAGAATTTAGGTTTAAGAATTAAGCTATAAGAAAAATAAATTAGCTTCATACCATAATAACTTACATGAGTTTTTCCACTTCCAGTCTGCCCATAAGCAAAGCATGTTGCCATTCCCCTTTCAAATATAGTTTCCACTAGTGGTCTAGCTGTAAACCTTAAAAATAATATGCGCCAGTCAGAATGTGCATTCAATATTTAAATTAAGCAAAAAAGAAATAAAAGTAATATAGTATTAATAAACAAAATGTATACCAAGATTTTTAACCAATCAATGAGCTCAATTGTGAGGCCACAATTGAGTCTAACTGATTTATTTAAAATTTCAAATAACTATATCCTAGTATTGCTTAAAACTCTTTAAATAATTTCAAGCAATAATCCTATATAATAAAAGCATAATATACAAATCGACTAAACAGTAGAATGACTGGTTGGCGGGGGTGGGGCCGGTGAGCAGGGGGAGGGGTCAGCGGGCTACCAGCGGCAGTGGAGGGGAGATGGAGTTGGGGGGAAGGGCTGGCTGCTTGCTGGCTGGTACCATCCCCTGATTGGCCCAGCTGGTCGCCTCCCACAGAGGGAGGCCAGACTGCACCAGTCAGACATCCCCAGAGGGCTCCTGGACAGCGAGAGGGCGCAGGCCAGGCTGAGGGACCCCACCCGCCAGTGCACCAGGCCTTTAGTTCCATAATAAATAATGATCCGATAACAATGAACAATAAAAACCTAACAGTAACTGTGCTATATAGAAGACCATAGGAAAGTTTTTTAAAAAAATAACAATCTAAATAAGAAAAATATATTAAGATTTCATTGAATGTGGACAGGTAAAAATAAATTGTGCTTTTAAGACATTGAGTTCTGAATTGATAGTCTTGATTCAAGAAAAGGATACTACTCTGGCTTGCATGCCTCAGTGTTGAGAGTATCAACCTATGAAACAGGAGATTATGGTTCAATTCCCTGTCAGAACATATGCCCTGGTTGCAAGCTTGATCCCCAAAAAAAATCCAAATTTGGCATAACAATTGTGGGGCATGCAGGAAGCAGCCAATCAATGATTTTCTCTCATCATTGATGTTTCCATCTCTCTCTCCCTCTCCCTTCCCCCCTCTAAAATCAATACATATATATTAAAATTTAAAAAGGGATACCAAAATATTATGATTTGGAATATTTTTCAAACCTATGAGTAAAATCACCACCAGAGGTAAAATTAAAAGATAAAGAAATATTTTATTGAGCAGAGCAACACATAAAAGGTCTAAGAGCACTAAAAGATATAACAGAAAACAAATATACTTTCTATATAGACTTCAAAATAATAGATATGAAACACTATATACAACTGTGCTGGTGTTTTTAATTAATTTTTTTAACTCTTTTTTTATTGTTGATAGTATTTCAGATGTATCCCTCCAATTCCCTCTCTCCTTAGTCCCACTGATATATATATTTTTAAAGGCACAACTGGAGAACATACAAAAGAAGCAGAGAAATTTCTAGAAATGAGTCTGATTAGATAAGAAAAGGTCTAACTCCTTAATCTATAAAAGTTAAGGTAAAGAGAAAGTAAGTAGAGTCAATATTGGTAAAGTTAAGAAGCATAAATATAGGTGAAAACACAGAATGTTTACTAAACTTGGCATATACAACAACATATCTTTACTTACAATGATTTATTAAAAATGACTATAAAAGGCAAACAGACATATTTTATAGACAGGAATGAAAGTAAAGAAGAGAAAAAGAAGGAAGAAGTAGACTATATTCTCAGAAAAGGTAAAAAATATAGTTTATAATTGTTAATTCCCTTAAAAAACTGTCTAGAATTCACTTGTGCTTTAATTTTGTCCTCTTTCTTTACAACTGAACTTCCAGTTTACCAGCTTAAGACCAATGAAGTTGGTTTCAACACTGTATCGTTTAACATTTTCAATTCTTAAGAAACTTAATAATTCTTCTTAAAAAATATATCAATTCATTGACTTTAGAGAGAGCGAGAGAAAGGGGAGAAGGAGGGAGGGAGGGAAAGAGAGAGAACCATCAATTGATTTCCCACTTAATTTATGCAATCATTGGTTGCTTCCTATATGTGCCTTGACAGGGGATCAAACCTGCAACCTTATATATTTGAATGATGCTCTAACCAATTGAGCTACCTCTCCAGAACAATTCTTTTTTTTTTTTTCTTTTTTTTTAATATATTTTATTGATTTTTTTACAGAGAGGAAGGGAGAGAGATAGAGCTAGAAACGTCAATGAGAGAGAAACATCGACCACATGCCTCTTGCACATCCCCCATCGAGGATATACCCACAACCAATGTACATGCCCCTGACCGGAATCGAACCTGGGACCTTTCAGTCCGCAGACCGATGCTCTACCACTGAGCCAAACCGGTTTCGGCCAGAACAACTCTTAGTAACTCTTTAATTTTCTGTTTGTAATCATATTTATTAAGTAAAAGAGCTGAAATATAGCTTAGAATAAATTGTCAGTTTGAAATAACAAAGCTGCTAAACTCACCTGTTATAATAATTAGAGGAGAATGTTTACAAAGCCTATATGAAAATCCAAATTTGGCATAACAATTTGAGATATCAGTGCATTATATATATAAATTTGAGCTCTTTATAAGTTGAATATGTTAACATACAAGAATTTCATGTACTAAAATTATCCCAAAGCTTAAAGACAATAGAAATTAGACAAATGCAAGTAGATTTACAGCACTTTTTCCCCCTTGAAGTTGTGGTACAGCTAAATATTTCAAATTTCTTTATAGTATAGAAATTAAAAAGAAAAGAATAGTCCTCCTCTAATTACTTCCCATTCTCAGAGGCACAAAAATTTCAACATTTTTTATAAATTTCCTATCCATATACATGTTATGTGATGTGTATATAAGTTAATCAATAATGGAAACTATGATTTGGGAGAGCACTAAAGAGAACAAGTGTTAATAGTTATTACAATGTTTATTACATATTCTTCTTTTTATTTAAACTCAGAATACAAAAGCATGTAACACCTCTGGAGAGATATGCCAAGATGAATATGTTTTAGGGTAATAATAAACACATAATGTGAGAACAAAATTTTAATTTAAAACAAATTTACCTACCTGTAAACCATTTCATTAGGAGCTGAATCATCAAAGGCATAATCAAAACGAAATGTTTGGTTTTCTAGGTACCGTGTTAAATCTACCTTTTGTTTTGGTTCATGTACCATCACAACATCTTTACTAGGGATTGTGATTACATCAAGATCTTTCATTTGAGTTTCTAAAAGAACAAATGAAAATCAATGCACAGAAACTTTTACAGATTTTGAATTAATGTACAAAAGAGTAAGGAGTTCTTCAAATATAAATGTCCCATAAATATCCCATTCAATAAGACAGAATATTTCAATAACAAAATAAAATAAGATTTCTGTGAGCAAGAACCAGAAATGGCAACATTTCATACAACAGTAACAAATCAATAGATAAACCACAGAAATCTGCAGAAAGGTTATGTACAAATGAAATAATTTACAATGAACTGTCCCTAACCAATTTGATTTTCTGCTCTTACAAACAGGATAAAATCAACCTTTATTACAACTCAATAAACATCATACCTTTTTTATTGAGTGGTCGTTTCCTTACACAGACACATATCCTATGTTCATCAATCTAGAAAAAAAAAATATTTCAGTGATTATCAGTGGTATGTAAAACAATGAAAGTCAATTATACAACATTTCCTTCAGAGATTTTGGAAATTTATACTAGCATAAATAGGATAAATAAGCTTTAAAAAACCACACACACACACAAATCAACTGCAAACATTTTAATAGAGACTCCCTTAGTTTTATTGTTTGGTAAACCATTAAGAAATAACCTTGTAGAGGGCACTACTATTCTTAGAGTATTAAGTTCATGTTAAGAAGCTGCCTTACTAACTTGAAGATGTGCCGTATAAAACAAAAACAAGTTCGTGTATTTTCAGATAGATTATAGGGAAACTTGTTGGCAAAGGTAACTATATAGACAAGAAACATGATTCCGAGGAGATTATTGAGCAAAATAATTTGAATATTCTTATACATAAATATTTTTCATAAAATTTATGTTCCTAATTCTTACCTAAGTAATATAATGTATGGATTAGCAAAGTATGACCTGCAGGATTAACCCAGCCCACTACTTCCTTTAGTAATGTTTTACTAGAACAGTCATCCCCATTCATTTGTATGTTGTTTATGGCTGCTTTCATACTACAAAAGCAGAATTGAATAGCTGTCACAAATACCATACATATGGTTCATAAAGTCAAAAATATTTGCCACCAAATCCTTTTCAGAAAAAGTTTTTACTAATCCCTTTCCTAAAGTCTGAGCTCAGAAACAGGAAGTTACACAAAGGTAAGGGTAGCAGCAAGGAGGGGTACCCACATGGAGAGGTACCCAAATATATGGGCTCCAAATGTTATGAACAACTATTAAATCCAAAATAATACACCTCCTGAACACAAATGTGTTTTGTGTACCCAATACTACATTCTGTATATGCTAGGTCAGATGGATTATTTCATAATTACCAATTATAAAAACATTCCCTGTCCAATAAATTCTCATTCTTCAATAGGAAATGAATTGAGTAATAAGACAGAAAACTTTTTGAGCACTAAATTTCTGGTCTATTGCAGTTCTCAACAACCATCACTTATAAAGCCAAAATAACATTAAAATAAATTGGACAGTGGGATCTATAGCACAAGCCAAAGAGGAAATAAAGGAAATCGGGTGTTCAGACATATAACTCCTTTAATTGTTGTTCTGTCCTACCAAAGACACGGAAGGCTTTGCTTTGAAACAGACACCTCTGTGGGAAGCATGTCTGATATGATCAATTATGGAAGAGAGGCATAAATGTGGATGATTTCTTGATTTTTCTTAAAATGTAGGGAATGGGCACATAAGAAAGGAAAATTTATCTAGTAAGTACAATATTCATTTAGTTGGTATCAAACATGTTTTTATTTCAGTAGAGTTCCAGAACAATGATTTATGAAAAAATCTTACAGGATCTGCTGTTGTTAATGGTCTATAATCCAGACTTCCTCTAAAATCTCTGATCATACACATAATTTCATAATTTGGGTTTGTAGCATCAACATCCTACAAGAAGATAAAGAGAATCATCATTTATTATAATTATAGTTAATACAGCATTTGTTGCTTTGGTGCTATAATTTGAAAATTAGAATTAAACTAATAGATTATCATTTACCCTAGTTCAACTCAAACTGAAAACGTGATATAATTTAGTTTCAGTTATGACTAGTCATATGCTCAAAGAATCACTTTTAAATTAAAAATACAATTTTGTAGGTCTATACACATTGCTAATTCTAAACCAAACATTCATTATTAAAATCACCCTTGACATAATTCAAAAATTCATCTGCTATTCATATAACTTAATTATCCTAGAAAATGGAGCAAAAGAGAAATAGTACTCATCTCTAGAAAAGCTGAAATTCTAGAAATATTCATTTAATTGAATTCTTCTTCCCAGTCTTAATCCAGTGAGATTCAGCAAAATAGAAATATGGATTAATTTAAATTCATTTTCTATTTTTGCTGTCTCTCTTTAAAAAACAAAACAAAACTATGACATGGTAAAACAGTTCCAAATCAATAAGACATAGAATTTTAAAAAATCAAAAGCCAAGATAATTTTAAAAATATTTTGATATTCAAATTATTGGATACTGACTGTTATGGAGAAGAGACTGTTCTATGACATTACCACTTCCTGACCCTGCCTGACTGCTGCTGTCCCTCCTGTTAGATCCAAATAGATGCTCTTAGACATGGACTAGAGAGAGAGCTCCCCTTAAATTCCCTCAGAAACAGACTTCTCCCTTATGCCCTGGGCAAGTATGTAAGGCACTTTCCCCTCTACTGGGGCAAGTTCCACCCCAGGACCCTATCCATCCTGCCCTGTCCTATATAACTCCGTAGTGCCTGCCACATGATGGATATCTATGTCTTCTTGCCACTGACCCAAGGCCACTTCACATGTAAGTTCCCTTAATAATTAGGCTTTAAAAAAAAATGGTATGTATTTTCACTAATTTCAGAGAGGAAGGGAGAAGGAGGGAGAGAGGGAGGGAGAGAGACATCAGTGAGGAGGGAGAATCACTGATTGGCTGCCTCCTGCATGACCCATATGAGGTATTGAGCCTGCAACCCCGACATGTGCCTAGGGAATCAAACCATGACCTCCTGGTTCATAGGTTGATACTCAACCACTGCCTCACATGACCAGGCAATAAACTCTTTATATAATGATGGAGTTGGCAGCCTCTCTTTCTTTGATTACTCAGCCCTGGAGAAAAACTTAACTGCAATTTACATTTTTGCTTCAAAACTGAGGAAAAGCAGATTAACATATAGTAAATAGCCATAGTTAATAGCCTCTCCCAGCCATGAGTGATAAATTATTGAACATTCTCAAGAAATCATATTTTTTTCATATACCATATGCAGATTTGTTTGGAATATAATTAAACTTAAAAACTGTTGATGAAACTTACTCCTAGGAAATAATATTAACCAGCTATATCAATTGAAAAGTACTATGTAAAGTGCAAATTAAGATACCACAAAGCTATGTGAAAATATTATGAAGTACCCATTGGAGACACCAGGTGGCATCTGTGCTAAATATCAGTACATCTAGCTCTTTTTTTTTTTTTTTTTTTTTTTTTTTTTTTTTTTTTTTTCAAATCACCAAATAATTTCTTTGGAATCAGAATGAAAGAACATTTGACAGTTGTTGAAATGTGTGTTTCTTCTGATACTTTTGATCAGTCATACAACTTATCTAGGACACATGACCAAATAAATTTTACATTTCTTTAGTACTGGGGTTTTTCTAGGTCTTCAAATTTGGGATCTTTAAATTTGAAGTCTGGGAACGTATTCATGTCTACCTTACTATATACATTTGCTTAAGCTTTAAAAGCTCCCTCTCCATGTCTTGCTGATACTTTGGACCAACATCAACAGGCCGTCCAGATGACTGTCGCTTAGTTTTGTATTCTCTAATCTTGTCCACGAAGAGTTTCTGTACAGGATCAAGCTCCTTATTAAATGCCACTGCTGTAACACCAATATTCCCCCCTCAAATGGACTGAGATTGCAGACCGAATGACAGAAGAGAACCTGAAGAGCCTCTGAAGAATCACTGTGACTGTTACTTGCACTCAGTCCTGAGCTGCCAGAGCCCAGATCTAGCTCTTTTGTGTATTAACCCAATTGGTCATTCTTAGATCACCTTCAGATAGAACCTGATTTACTCAGGGTGATTATGCTGGTTCTACAATTCCCAAACACAACAACTTTATGAATAAAAATTGTTTTCAAATGCCCTCAAGGGGACTTGAGAATACTCCTAAGTAAAAAATAAAAAAATCCTGATATTTTATTAAAGGAAACAAGTTCTGATTATATCATATAAGCATAAGGGAGGAGTTTTATATATAATAACAGAATTTTTAATGTGAGCAGACTTGTAAAGAGATAAGAGACCAATTTTCTATGCAATTTCCCCATTGCTAATAAAGTTCTGCTACCACCTAAAGGAAACACAAGAGGGGCATAATACAGATATACTCTCATATCTAGTATAAATCAAAACACAAGAAACTTCCCCTCTTTCAATGTGTTATGTTGACCTTATTATTGCCCATGAGAAAATAATAAAATTTATAATGTAATCATGTACTTCAACTGAATGTTCTTCTAAATATAGTTTTAGATATTTTTAAAAAGTCAAAAATCCTATTATTCTTATAATAGAATTCTATAACACAATATCTTATTAAAAATGGAACAAACTTTAGGACTAACACATACCCACTAAAACATGAAAAGTACATGTAGTAAATATATGTTATAACTTATTTTCACGAGAGTTTATATTATTCCTCAATATCAATTAAAGGACTATATTGAAATCTTTAAATGAATGCCTCAACTACTTTTACCTACGTCACTCACTTACACTGACAGTATGACCTTCAGTTGGTACATACACAAAATATGTTTCTGTTACAAACCTGAGCTCTTTTTTCTCTAAGTTCTTGCTGTTGTAGTCTCCTTTTCTCTCGTTTTTCTTGTAATTTTTCTACTTCTTTAACACAATTAGATTTTCTACGTGCTAAAAGAAAAAGATGAGCTGTAGTAGATTTCTTTTTAGAGTATTGTACTTAAACATAAAATGCTATGTGTAATTAAATCACATAACTAAAATAAAGTTCACAGTGACAAAGCATGCCTGTAACAACTACATGAACTTTAGTTAATGAGCTGCTTTAACAAAACTAGGAACAGGACAATATACAAATAAGAGTCAAGAAAAATGACTCTAACATATTGATACATGTCATCTCTTGGTTTAGAATCACAGATGCCAAATTATCATCTGTCCAGAATTTTAAATTCAAAGCAACTGAAATACTTACAATTTTATAGTAGTAAGAATTGTTTACCCCAAAATATATAAATTAAAAACCCAATAGACTAAACTAACTAGGAAAAAAATTTTTCCACAGTGGTAAAATGAAATCTGCAATCAAGTTTGCAATTAGGTTGTTTTACCATTTGGGGATATATAAAGATGACCAAGAGAGAATACATGTATGCCTAAAATGACTGAATCCTTGATACATGATTTACATACAAGGAGGTCCAAATTCCTTTTTTGCAGCTTGAACTGGAGATATATCTGAAATACTACCATTCTGTTGTGCAGAAGAAGACTGTTCGGGAAGCTGACTAGGCCGTGCACGTGCAGAACCAACCACTGTAAGTAGAACAAAAATTTTAAATTCAGAACAGAAAATTAATAAAGGTGAACCTTGGTTAAAGGAACAGAGGTTACTGAAAAGAACTGATAACTTAAAAGTTGCATTAGCAAATTGTCAGTTTTTCTACTTATGTGCACATTAACAGAAAACGTAATAATTTTATTCAATAAACTGATAAGCTAAGAGGTTTTTGGTATAATATGTGTAGGCTTAAGTGCCACCAATGTAGTTTTAATTATAAAACTCAATCAGAATAATTTATATAAAAATCAAAGCCAACCTTAATTTTTAATAATCATTTAAAAATATGTGTACAAAATATAAATTTTAAATGCATTCTCATTTTGAATACTCCAGAACTATGGAAAGTAAAAATGTAAGTCCTTTAACTCTCCCTATATTCCAAATCCAATTATTTGCTCCACAAATATAAATATAATATCTTAATAAATATAATATCTTAAGCAGAGTTTCTTACTGTAAATGTTATAAATGTGGAAAGGCATTATTAATTAAGTATAAATGTCACATTTTACAAAGATAAATAAATTTTTACAACTGCATAGTACTGAACTTTACCTCTACTTCTGATCTCTTCTCTAATACCTATGCCCCTCCTTTCTCATCCATCCATACAGAGAAACATCACTATTAGAAAGTACCATTCTGAACTGCTGAATAGTAAACAAGAAATAAACTATGCTTTAAATTTCTTGGCTGAAAATATATGGAAGACCTGCCATTAACTGAAATTTATACCTGTTCCACTTTTTTTTTAAGTTGACTCCAAAGATACCCATGACCCCTTTTGGAAACCTGTTAGCCAAAAAATTATATAAAATGTCAAAATTTTGTGAAATTAACCAACAGGCTACTTCCCCATTCCCTTCTTTGTCACAACACTATCAAATCCGAAAAACTATTGGGCAAATGAGATGAATCAAATATTGCATATATCATGGAGTTTTGTAAATTTATAAATAATTTTATATTATCAACATTATACTAGAAAATCAAGAAGATACCATCTTAAAATAACCCATGTAAAGTTTAAATAAATAATAAAGTCAACAGTAATATTTGCCTTTTTTAAAGAACATTTTTATTAGTTTATTAGAATTTATTTGAGCTAAACAGGACATGCTTGGGAGCAGAATCTCAGCAGACTGAGAACAATGCTTCAAGAGTAATATTTAGTTTTGATTTATCTTGTCAGGGCCAATAGGCAAAATTAATAATTTTTTACTTTACCTCTGTTATCTCTTGGAGGAGGGTCATTCTTAATAGAAGCCACAGTCCGTCGATTCTATGAAAGAAAAATGTTCATTTAACTTTCTCTCTTTATTCTTCATCAATATTTAGTAATCAGTTTCATTTAATTAAATAAAAATAGGCAGACATATAATAACTTAAAACTAAATGGAAAAAAACTGCAAATAATCTTCTAATGAATTACTGCTATTAATATTCAAGTTTATGAGTATTCTCTGCCCCCAAATATTCAGAAATAATGAGCCAGGTACTGCTCTAAGGATTTTATATGTATTAATTCACTTAATCTTCACAATAAACCTATGAGTTCATTATTATTGCTATTCCAGTTTCATATTAATAGATAAGGAGACTACAGCAAAGAGAAGTTAAGTAATTTCATTCAAGGGTGCACTTTCAATCATCATGCTATCCTGTCAAAACTATCTAACACATTTCATCTTTGGATACCAGGGGGAAATTAATGAAATACTAATTTTAGACAACTTATAGCCCATTGTTAAACTGGAAGATCAAAATACTATGAGATGAACAGTTAGTTATGCGAAAAGGTTTCATAGACTTTCAAAGACTACATGTATTAGGGAAGCAATTTTTTGGTCCTATTATTTAAGAAGACCTTCATTTTATTTACCTAATTTAAAAAAAAGATACAAAATAATGCAGTGGTTCTCAACACTCACTGTACATTCAAATCAGATGGGTACTTTTAAAAAGGTATTATTGCATCCTGGCTAGTTTGGCTCAGTTGGTAGACCATCTGCCTGTAGATTGAAGGGTCTCGGGTTCGATTTTAATCAAGGGCATATGCCCTGGTTGCAGGCCTGATCCCTAGTAGGGGACGTGCAGGAGACAACCGACCAATAATTCTCTTATCATTGATGTTTCTTTCTCTCTCTCGCTCTTCCTTCCTCCCTGAAATCAATACCATCTCTTTGAGCAAGCCTAGGAATCAGTAATTTAAAAAAATTTCCAGATGATTCTAAAGCCCTGCAAATGTTGCTAATGACATATTCGGAAGTGTAAACTATGAAGATCCTTCAGGTTGTGAAGCCAAATATGAAAAATAGTCTGTTTACAAATGGTAACTAATGACCCCTAAGCAGTGACTCTCAATATGCTGAAATCCTATGAACTGAAAAATCTGCCTTATGTTCATATGCATGGTTTAAAAAGCAGGTTTTGCTGATAATTGTTAAGCTTCTATGTATGTCCAATAGGGTTAAAGCCATGTCACATTCATCTTTTTGGGTGACAAAATCAACACTGTAGAAAAATCAACAAATACTTGCTGAGTCGAACACACACAAAAAACTATAGATTCAACAACTTTGAAGGACTATCTGGTTGAAAAGAGTTGTGTTTTGCCCCAAAATTTTAACAGTGAAAAGTTTCAATAGAAATAAAAATTAACTTTTTTAAAATAACATGACTTTTTTCAATAAAGATAAAACTGTTGGAGAGGATATAGCATATTTTAAAGTTTATCTTCACTTGTAAGAAACTGGAGTGAATAAAAACAGTCCTTTCTTTATCAAAGTCATTTGTATTCATTCAACAAATACTGATGAGCAAATTGTTTTGACCTGTAACTTCTGAGAAGCTATAAGTCTTAGAAAAAGACCCTAATCAGGCAAACAATTTATAGGATTTTTTAAAAAGATGGTGTTTTTTTTAATTGATTTCAGAGCAGGAAGGAAAGGGAGGAAGATAGAAACATCAATGATGAGAAAGAATCATGGATCAGCTGCCTCCTGCACACTCCAAATGGGGATTGAGCCTGCAACCCAGGCATATGCACTAACTGAACTTGAACCGTGACCTCCTGGTTCCTAGGTGGAAGCTCAACCACTGAATCATGCCTGCTGGGCAAGGATTTTATTTTATGATCTGAGGCGTGGTGCACAAAATTCATGCACGGTGTCTGGGTGTGTGTGTGTGTGTGTGTGTGTGTGTGTGTGTGTGTCCCTCAGCCAGCCCGCACCCTCTCCAATCTGGGATCCCTCTCATAATCCAGGACTGCTGGCTCCCAACAACTCGCCTGCCTGACCCTAACTGCTTCTGCCTGCCAGCCTGATCACCCCCTAACCACTTCCCTGCCAACCTGATCGATGCCCAACTGCTCCCCTGCCAGCCCGGTCACCCCCAATTGCCCTCCCCTTCAGGCCTGGTTCCCCACAACTGCCCTCCCCTGCAGGCCTGGTTGCCCTTAACTGCCCTTCCCTGCAGACCTGGTTGCTTCCAACTGCCCTCCCCTGCAGGCCTGGTCCCCCTCCTCCCCCAACTGCCCTCCCCTGCTGGCCTGATCGCCCACAACTGCTTTCTCCTACTGGCTATTTTGTGTCCATATGGGGGGTGGCCATCTTTGACCACATGGGGGCAGCCATCTTGTATGTTGGAGTGATGGGCAATTTGCATATTACCTCTTTATTATATAGGATTGTTGTAATCGTGAATTAGACAACCTCAATCCTTGAAAATATGTTACACACACACACACACACACACACACACACACACACACACGTGAGAAATTGCGTGAGACCCGGGACCCTCCACCCCTCGCACCATGGGACTGCCCCGAGTACCAGAGTCCCGCACGGCATGGCTGGAGGGCCATGAGTCCTGGAGTACCACCCTGTTGCCCCGCCTCCAGGCCACGTGCAGCAGCCACCAGGCCCCGCTCCTGTGGTACACACGCAGGAACCCTGGTGGAAGCTGCGCAGAGTGGCCACCAGCCTCACCCCCACTGTGTGCACCTCCATCTAGTGATAGCATTATGGTGTGAGGGTCAATTTGCATATTACCGATTTATTATATAGTATATGCATTTGAATAGCAGAAAGCATTAAAGTTTAAAAAAAAAAAATACTTAAATACTTAAAAAAAAAAAAAAAATACTTCCACAGCATGCCAATTTCAAACCATAACACACATAAGAGCTCTGAATTTTCATCACTAACCTTTACAATTTTGTTTACTTTGGCTGAGGATGTTGGAGGTGGAGGTGTTTCTGGACTGGGTTCAATTTCTTCATCAGGTACAAGGTCAGGGTTAAGGGAAAAGATGCTCTCCAAGTCAATCTGTTTTAAAAACCACATGTGTTTTCAGTGTATTTTGACAAGTAAGCTCTTATTTTTCAAATAAACTTACAAAGAATAAAAAGTTAAAATAATTTTAGCCTAATGAATGGTACTATTTCAGAAGCTAGATTACCTAAAATTATAACTCACATATATTTAAAGAATCTCTCTCCCTCCCCCTCCCTCCCTCTCTCTCTCTCTCTCTCTCTCTCTCTCTCTCTCTCTCTCTCTCTCTCTCTCTCTCTGTTAATCCCCACCTAAGGCTATTTTTCCCATTGATTTTTAGAGTGGAAGTGAGGGAGGAAGGGAAGGAGACAGAAACATTAATGTGAGACAGAAACATCAATGTGAGAGAGACATGTTGCCTCTGATGTGTACCCCAACAAGGGCCAGAGATTGAACCTGAAACCCAGGTTCATGCCTTTGACCAGGAATCAAATTCAAGACCTTTTGTGTACAGGCTGACCATTGAGGCACACCAGCTAGGCAAGAATCTCTCTTAAGATTGAATTTTGTGGTCTTAATTATATGTTCAATCACATAAGATATACAGGAGAAATCAACCTTTGTTTGAGTGACTTTTTTTTAATCAGTTGAATGCTTTTTAAGGAATGACACACATACTATATAAAAATTATACACTTTTCTGTTTTGCTTTATATTAAAAAAATAATAATAGATCTAAAAGTAAGATTTAATTCAGTGATTGATCTTACCTCTTTGCCTTTTGTATCTCCATTTTCTATCCATTCAACAGTCACACTTTCATTATCTTCATTTAAAGATGTTACCATTGCTTGATGTATTCGGCCTAAGAAGGATAAAATATAATTTTTTAAAATGTCATAAATTATAGAATGCCTAACACTGTCAAATACAATTTTATAATTTACAAACTAATAAGACTATCATATTGCTTTTCTTACAAGACATTTCCCACACACTTTTGGGATTAGTGAATGAACACTCAGTAGCAAATCCATCTGCTACTTGTCTGGATTACACTTATTTTCAGCATACATGATAAATGGTTACACCATGACATAGAATACCTGAAAATTGATACTGTTAAGTAGTTATAATTATTAAAGTTTCCTTACTATGTAAGTCAACAATGACTCTGTTGAACATTGAATAAAAGGTCTTAGAGCAATTTTTAATACTATACTGATACAAAATACTTTTTACTTACAAATAATTATCACATTATACAAATTAATGATATGAATATAAATATTAAGAAAAGAAACCAGAGTCCAAAAAGGTTGGGAAATGTAATCTAAAATGCTCTTTTTCTGCATTTGGCCTATCAAAATCAATTCTACTCCTTATTTTCTCTGCTGACTCTAGTATTTATCATGTGAAGAAAGAACATTATATTTTATGTATTAAAATGGTTTTTTTCTCTCTTAATAGGTGTGGATCTTAGCTGGTAATAACTATACATCTAAGTAATTATTATTATTTTTAATCCTCATCTAAAGATATCTGCCCCCACCACCACCACCCCCGGCACTGCTTTCAAAGAAAATGGAAGGGAGAAAGGGATGGAGGGAGGGGAAGAGGGAGAGAGAGAAGCAGAGAAAGAGAGAGAAACATGGATGTGAGAAACATTGATTTAAGAAAGATACATCAATTAATTGCCTCCTGCACACTCCTGGACATGGTCAGGAATGAACCCACAACCCAGACACAACCCTACATCTGGAAGTGAACCTGTGAGCCTTTGATGCGTGGGCACTACCTCTAAGCAAAAGCTGCTATTTTAACTATGCTTCTCTACTTCCCTATATTAAGATGATGAAGAAGCCTCTTTGTAAAACACCCCTGAAAAAAATTTACAGATTCTCAAACCTCATTGTACATCAGAAACTCCTAGGGAGCTTTTTCAAAATAAAATGATGATTCCCAAGTCTTAGCCCCAGACAATCAATTCTTAACGATTCCTCTGCAAGCAACTTGGTGCAAGCCACCCATGCCTCTATTCCAGATTCTCTCCCAACTTGTCAGTTTCCTTGCTTCCACCCTGTTTGCCCTTATGTCTATACTCCATAGGAAGCCTATCCATTCCTAGTAAAAACTAAGTTGGATTATATTATACCCCTTTGCTCAAAACTTTCTAGTGGCTCTCCATCTCACACAACGAGTAAAAACCAAAGTCCTTCCAATGATCTTTTCATGACCTATAACAAACCCCTACATGATCTGACCACTCATTTCTGTGATCTCATTCATCCTTGACTGGTAATTCTCCATTTTACTGCCTGCTCCCTGTCTCAAAAAATACTTTCCCATCCTGTCACCCCTCAAAAGTTCTAGATAGATCAAGGACTTAAATGTGAAAGACAAAATGTAAATGCAAAATAGTAGATAGTGGTGCCATTTACTGAGATAAGCAGACTTTAGAGGAGAGGCAGATGTTTGGGAGGAGGAAAATGATGAGTTGAAAAATACTGGGAGAACACAAAAAGGGGGCTTAAAAAATTAAAGAAATACCACTGCAATTTGATTTGGACAGAAATTAAGTAAATAAACCAGTAGAAGTATTACATATCAGTTGGGTCCTCAGGGAAGCAGATGTTAAGACAGGATAAAAGGCCTATTGTGAAAGTTAAAAGAAGGAAGAAATAGGATTGGGCATGGACGACTTTCAGATCATGAGAGAGATCTAAAACTTGTGTATGTTGTTGAAGAAAGAAGTACGAATAGATGGTGTTTCCATGCAATTACCAACAGATATAAATGCAGGTTTGAGCAGAGAGAGCCTTAAACCTTGATATAGATGTGACAAAGTCTTGGTTGGCCAATCCAGCAAAGAGCTCCAGAGCAAAGACTGCTAATTGGAGGAGTCCCACACGGGGCCAAAAGAGAAATATCCTAGTACCCACAGGATGCTCAGTCACTGACTAAGGACTCCCAGCAAAAGCAAGACCTGAACTCAAAAGCTAAGGAGCGTATAGTGAAGGCCTGGGGGAGTCAAGAATGAGGACATCAATGGGGGAAAATGGGACATCTGTAATACTTTCTATAATAAATTATTTAAAAAAAAAAAAAAACTAAGGAGCCTAAAGGTATTAACAGCTGAAGTCTGTCAGCTAAATGTACTCCCTGAAGTAAAAGAAATTCTTTCTTCCTTTCTTTCTTAAATATTTTTTATTGATTTCAGAGAAGAGGGAGGGGGAAGAGATAAACATCAATCATTGATTGGCTGCTGCACGCCCCCTACTGGGAATTGAGCCCACAACCCCAGCATGTGCCCTTGACCAAAACTGAATATGGGACCCTTCAGTCTGCAAGCGAATGCTCTATCAATGGAACTAAACTAGCTAGGGTAAAAAAGTTCTTTCTTAAAGGGAGATCCAAGCAGTGCATCTACACCATTGACATTGGATATGAAAAAGAGAAAGACTGATTTAATTGTAGTAGAAATGGAGAATGGACAGCAGAGACATGAGCTGCCCTGCTGGCCACCATCACTATATTAGGAGGGGCTACCACTGCTTGCATCAAGCCCTACCTTTACCACGATCTCCACAACATGAGTAGTGAGGCTGAGACCCAGCAGCCTCTCTCCCCAACCTGACCACCCCTGGCAGTGTCACAACAGTAATACCAGTGGGGACAAGAAGATTACAACAAGGGTTTGGGGAAAAGTGAAATGGTTTAATATGACACTGATATAATTCCATCATTAGGAAATGACCCCAAAGAAGACTACACCAGACTACCAAAGAGGAAAACTTCCAGAAAGACATGAAGAGGCTGTGGTTGGTTGTTAAGGAAATATAGGTAGGGGTTTTCATGCAATTACCAATAGAATTACCAAAATAACAAAAATGGGGGAAAGTGTATGCATATACCAAAAGGGAAGACCAACACCACCATTCCTACAGTTAAGCATCTACCACAATATCTCTATTTCCTAAGGAGGGAGGGGTGACATAGTGTACTGATAACTAGGTGTGTGAGAAAAGGCAAACTAGAGGGACAAAATCTGTGTTAGGACTATAGGTCACAATTTCACAGGGACCTTAAACTCCAAAAACAGCCTAGAGAAATTAGCAATGAAGAGGATAAAAAAAATCAAAGAGAGAACACATAATATTGGCAATATTCTCAAGACTGGTACCTCCACAACTCCAATTACCAATGAAGACACTCAGAAAACCTTAAGCTCCAAGCAGCAGAGTTGGTAAAATCAGCTGATCTACCAATTAAGACTAAACTCTAGAAGTTTAGCAAGACAGGACTGAGAAACTGTTGACTAATCACCATCATGGTCTAGTTTACTCATTCAAGAAAAAATAAATATAATATTCTATCAATTAAGAAATGAATAAAAGGTCATGAGCTGAATAAAATCTTAGGTGATTGCTTTTTGCCACTGGATCAGATTAGCAGAAATATCTGCAGTTCCTATGCAGCATGGAATTTTTATTATTTTTACCAAAAGATGTCTGTAAAAAATTTGTTTAAGCCTGACTTTCCCCAATATGCCTTTAAAGATTTTAAAACCAAATGTTGTATATATGGTTCAATTAAGATATATTCAGATACCTCATTTTTAATTGTAATAAAGATTTACATTTTTTTTTTTATCAAAAGTCAAAGAGTTAAGTACCCAGTATCAAAGGTGTTAAATAATAAAATAAAGCCCTAACCGGTTTGGCTCAGTGGATCGAGCGTCGGCCTGCAGACTAAAAGGTTCGATTCCAGGACTTTGGTTGCAGGCACATCCCCAGTAGGAGTTGTGCAGGAGGCAGCTAATCGATGTTTCTCTCTCACTGATGTTTCTAACTCTCTATCCCTCTCCCTTCCTCTCTGTAAAAAAATCAATAAAATATATTTTTTAAAAATAAAAAGGAACAGATCTACGTGAGGTTTTTCAAAGGAAAAGATTAGTGTTAACACAGATATAAAAAGTTTGAGTTTGAATGACTGGGAAAATTATACCAATGGTGGAACAATAAGCTACTTTGTCCTAAGTCTCAGTTGTTAATAGGAATCATGCATGGGTGTTAGTAAGACAACTACATATATAGAACTACATTTCAGAGACAAATCAGGATTGGACATATCTTTCCCGAGTCTGAGACTATCTTCCCATATGGCCCTCCAAATACCAACCCATTTTTCTGGTTTGAGAAAATTTCTGTACTTCATCCTCACTAACAATGCCCTTTGATACTGATTCCCTATATACTTCATTGTGAATTACATCATAAATACTTCTATGTTAAAAAAAAAAAAAAAGAACACTTGTGTATCCACTATCACCAGGTTAAGAAACAATACCTCTGAACCCCATTATGTCTCCTCCTTAAATGGATCTTCCCCCTCCCATTTTCTCCGCCATCAGAAGGGTCACTATCTGTTATTTGAGATAATCGTACAGTGGCTTTTCTTTGCAGTTTTATCACTTATAAATGTTACACACAAAAATGTTGAGTTTGCCTACTTTTATCTGACAGTACTTTAAGACTTTCACAACACTATTTTCTTTATATTCTAAAATATAAATATTTTCTTTATTTATATTTCTTTTCTTTATTTTAAACTTTGTTGTTTAAAGTATTACCTATGTCTCCTTTCCCCCTGATTGACGCCCCCTTCCAATTCTCCCCCAGGACAAGACCCCACCATCCCAGTGTCTGTGTCCATTGGTTTTGCTAATATGCATGCATACAAGTCCTTTGATTGATCTCTAACTCCAGCTCCCTGCCTTCTCTCTGAGTTTGGATGGTCTGTTCAATGTTATCTTGTCTCTGGATCTATTTTTGTTCATCAGCTTATGTTGTTCATTATATCCCC